TTTCTCATTTTCTGGGACTACCTGTGAACCTAAAAAAAAAATATAATTCAGTAATAAAAAAAAATTCATGCATTTAATGGATAAGATTCAAATGCGCGAATATATGATGGAGAACCCGGTTTCCGCTCCGTATATACCGCGCAACGTACACATAAGTGTATATATATACGCATTCGCGTCTCTTCCTGAACTTCAACGGCGCGGCATACGATTAAGGTTGAGTCAATATTTGCGTTTGGCGAGGTGCTATTGGATGGGCAAGCTTCACGCCTCGATGCGGCTAGATCGAAGTCAGAAATTAAGACGACGGACCGCGACGATGACACGGCCTCGATTTTTAATGACTCTCGCCCGAACGAGCCACGCCGAATCGTAAACTGTGCAACGGTTTGTGTGCCCGAGAGGGGACGCTCGCAAACCTGAGTTCCCCCGATCAACAAAGGGGGAAACAGACTGCGTTCCGAAACGTTCTCTCCTTCGGTCTCGAAGATCGAAGCGATTTCGATCGCGAAATTATCCCGCCCGATAAACGGGTGTGTACATACACTCCCCTCCCCTCTTCCCTGTCCAGCGCGTTGTTGAAGGCGCGGTGATAAAACAACGAGAGCTAAAATTAAACGCCCACCGTCACACGGGACGGATCAATTTGCACCGCGCTTTTAGCGCCGGTGTTTTAACAGGTGTGTTGCACGGCGGAAGACGGACCGCCGTCAGGATTTATTACGATCCGCGACGCTATCCGATGGCGATAACGGCGCGTCAAAGTAGCAACGGGCACCTCTGTTCCCCAAAACCCCGAACGGCCGTTGATGGTTCATTCACGCGCTCTAAAGCGAAGCGAAATTAAGCGGTTTCACGGCGACATTTCGCCGTCGCTCGCGCGCGCGAATGCGTGCCAGTTTCTCCCGCGAATCGGATCGCGCGCGCGCGTCTTCATTAGGTTAATTAACGCGACGACATTGACACCGTGCGACAAATGCCACGATGGTAGTAACCCTACCATCGCGCTGCTTCCGTTCGCTCACTTCGTTCGCGGTATCATAGTTAATTTAACGCGTTTAACCTTCTGACCTTTGCCTTGAGAGAGAGAGCGGGATCGATTATCCCTGAAAAAACTGCTGATTCAGTTCACAGCTCGTCACGCGTTGTTCTTTCCCTCGACGTGACGGCGAACGCATCGCCGACCTCGTGAAACATTCTCGCGTCCGAGGGGCCGAGTACTCTGACTCAGCTCATCCCGAATCCATTATCTCGCGGAAGGAGGTTTCGAGGGAACCATGAAACGCGATCCGATTAATGGACTTCCGGCGAGAAGACGACGTCAGGCGCGGCGAACCGGGAGGATCCGGGAACCGACCGCAAACCGTCGTGCCACACAATCGGTTGATAGACGCACCGCAGACCGGGAAAATCCGCCCGGCGGGCGGAAGCGCTCGCACGCGAGAGCCGATTGTGTGCGTGCCTAATCCGCGAGGACGAAAATAAACCCGTTCGGTTGCGTGCGAGTACAGATGCTGATCTTTATGTTCATTTCATAATTGCCGCGCGTAATTGTCGCAGTTCCGGGAGGGGGGGAGGGGGGGAGAAAAATGAATACGGACCGTAAATTCTGTCGGTGCGATCAATTAGCCCTAATGCGCTTTAACGATCCCGGCTACCGATAAATCTGTATTTTCCTCGCGTCGCGGAAGATACCGTACACGCTGGTAAATTTTGCATTAAATTTAATGTATTTCATATGTCCCGCACAAGTTTTTCTGGTAATTTAACACAAAGTGAATATGTTGAAAAGTAACGCAAATATTACCGAAGTATAAAATGCGTTGTATCTTCGGCCCAGAATAGAGCAAATATTTTCCCAATTTCTCTCGCGCTTTCTGCGTAAACGCGGGGAATATCCTCTCGAGTCTCCCGTCGAATTTCGGAACTTCAGCTCCGGGAAAACGAAATAATTTGACACGTGAGGAAAATAGCGATACGCTAATAATGGCCGGTGAGAGAAGAGAAAGATAGAAACGTGAACTCGCCGCGCGTGAATCAGAAGATCGCATTCGGGATGTCGTCGCGGACGGAGATCAGAATCCGAGAGTTCCTTGGGCGAGCCACCCTCGCGAGGGTAGTGACGCGCGATGGCAGGTAAACAAATGCGGGAGAAATGTTTGTCGATGGAGTAGCGCGCCGCGACGTCACGGGGAGGCGCCTTCGAGGCGCCGTTCGTCCATCGATCCGCATCCTTCGGATGTAATCCTAGAGAAGAGGAGAGTACCGGCACCAGCCGGCGTCCGACGGTGTCTGGCGCCAACCCCCGATGGCGAGCGAGCCGCCCCTCCTCTCCCTCAATCGTTGATCGTCCTGATAATTACTCCACCAGGAGCGATCTCTCGCGGGTGTCCTGCCGCGTACTCGCGATCTCAGTGAAATTCTACCCACGCGAAATCGAGCTCGAGTTTCCCGAGAGCCTCGGTTTTAATCGTTACCTCGCCGACAATCGGTCCGTGAAGAGCTTAGGTCTGGTTGCACTAAATTCCGATTAAGCTAAGCGACGATTAATCGACAGGATTGCAAGCTGTAATTTTCAACTCCTTCTTTTCCTCAATTTCCTCAACAGAAATCTCGATTGGTGACCCTGTAAGTTAATCGTCGTTTAGCTTAAGCGGATTTTGTTGCAACCGAGCCTAAACTTAAGGGTGTATGTTCTAATCTCGGAGAGCCTTGTCTTATCTCCTGTGGCAACGTGGACCATTGTGGATTATCCAGCTATCCGTTATCTCTTATCTAGCCGTTCTCCGGGATGAGTCAATGGCCGCCCTCGGTAACGTATAGTTTTCTTCCTTCGTAGTGATGCATATTCTCGATGAGGACGTGCACCTTCGCGGACTCTTGGTCAGCGAGTTTCGCCGGAAATTCGATTTACTCGCGCTGCGGGGGAGCGTCGCGAAACAGCGAGAAAGAGCCGTGTGACGCGAATCCCGTCGGCGAACGTAAGACGCGCAACTTTAGTCGGTCGTATCTCAAAGTCGAAGACGTACAACTGGGTTTGCCCGTCTTAAAAATTATTTGCGGACCGCCGGGCGCCCGGGTGAAACTGTCGCATGCCACCGCGGTGATAAATTGTCCGATAAAATATACACGACGAGGCGTTCTCGCAACGTCGGCCCGGAGAAATCCAGCCCGGAGACACCCCTAAGTACCCCGCGGGACCCGTGACACCGCCGGAAAGCTCGTGGAGAAGACGTTGATCGCGACGCCATCGATAATCCCCTGTCGCACGCTGAAGGGACCTCGTGACCCGTAATTCTCTTCCGCAAGGGAAAAGGTCGAGTTCGCGTGTGACCGAACTTAACCCTTTATCTTCTTAAAGAGAAGGCTTCGTAGAAGGAAAGGAGAAAGAGAGACGAGAAGAGGAAGAGAGGAAAAGAAGGAAGAGAACACGAGAGAGAGCACTCTCGGCCAGCTTCAAAATGAATTCCCAACGAATAGATAGCGGTATAAATAATGGCGATAAATTCGGGAGCACAACGGCCAATTAGCAAGCGAGCAACATCTAATTATCCGAATTTCATTTTTCACGCTGGAGGTGTCGGGTTGACGAAAACGAGGGGGAGTCTGTGTGCGCGCGTGTATCTTCTCTCTCTCTCTTTCTCCCGGAGCAGAGAGGTTGCGGGAACGGAGCGGGATATTGATTGTCGCAGAGTCGGAGCACCGTACCGCTCCTTCCCCGCTCGTTGTAGGTACCGTCCGTCTGTCCGACCGACAGTCAGCTGACTCGAGTTACCCGACTCACAGCTGATCCGACGCACGCCGCCGTGCTGGCGCAACCACCGTCGCATTGCCGCCCTCCCTCAGGGCTCACCCCTTCTCTCTCTTTTTCTTCCGTCCTCCCTCGCCCTTCGAGCCCGCGATATATCGGTTCGTCCGTCGTGGCTCTTCCACGCTTCACCTTCGGCTGAAACACATTCCGCACTTCTCGCACCTTGCACTTTGCTTGCGCGCGAGCTGAGAGTAAGGTAGACACCGTTGCGCTTTTGAAGCTTTGCCTCGCGCTCGGCGGAGAACTCGGCGGTGCTCATCCGCCGAGAAGCTTCTCCGCGTCTCGCGGATCGTCGCTTGGGTATTTTTGGCCACCGCGTGAGTCGATCGATTATAGCCGCTCGCTATAAATAATTCATTCATCGAGGGAAACTAGTTGCCAGCCAGGCGTGCCGTAACTGCAAAATAAAAGAGCCGCTGCGTTAACAGTTAAGGCGCGTGCTCGCGGCATTTAAGCCGTCGATATTTCTAAATATAACGACTCCAAACCCGACGATGGTGCCGTTCTATTTCTACACCAACTCGCGGAGCATCCCGCGTAAATATAGCTCGCTTTTTTGTAAATACACCGTGAGAGAAATTCACACGGCACGCCGAGGTCACGAGCCGTGCGGGCCCTTCCAGCCCTTCCGAGAAGGTCACACATCGCCGATGGAGATCAACGCGCCCATAAACTCGCGTTTGTATTAATACCCCACGACGAAATGGTATAGATGACCACCGGGTAGAAACGTGCATGCGCCGGAGCCTGCACTTCGACCGTGCGCCGAATAATTGAACGAACGCCGGCGACGAGGAGAAAGGTGTGCACAAAGGCGGTTCGCACACGCGAGAGGAAAGAGCCGATGTACAAAATCGCGCGCTCGATTCTTCAACTCGCGCGTTAGCCTCTGACATTTCGTGTGCAACTCGATAACTCGCAGACACTTTCGCGTCCCAAAGACTCCATCAATGAGAGATTACATGTGGACATCTCCCGCCCTGAAAAAGGCGAAAGAACGCGCGGGTGAAAGACGGGACGCCCCCACGTGTCTTCGGTCGAAGGGTTGAGGGGGGTCGATCGAGATGCGCGGACTTGTGTTGCGTTTTGGCACATCCCGATGACGACGACGGAGGAGGTGGTGGTCGGCCGCCCCCGCGACAGCCTCCGACGGTGGTTCGCGAGATCCCTCGCAGTCGCGTCCGTGCGCTCGACGGCGGCGCGTCGCGGGTCGAGTGTCGCGCGCAGGTCGTGCTCCGTCGTCCGAGGGAGAAGACGCAGAGGAGGAAGCGGGAGGATCACAGGTCGGCTGGCGAAATGCGCGAGAAACCGCGGGCGGCTCGCGGTCTCGCAGGGAACGACGAGGGGCACTAGCTCGGTACCTGGGAGCGGCGCGTTTAGAAAGTTCGCGAGAGACGCGGCGGGTGCCGCGCGCGTCTCTCCTCCCCGTCATCTCTCTTCCGCTTCGTACTTTTTCCGCGTTCCCGCGAGCCCGCCAAGGAGAAAGCCTCTTTCTCCGCTCGCGTACGAGGATGACGACGATTTGCCGAGCCACCGCTCGGTGCAGCGCGATCTGTTCCGCGCCGCGTCTGTGATTAGATTAAGGGAAGGAAGTGCTGCAGCGTCGTCTACAGCACGATGCGGCATAGGAGAAGGGTGCATAGATAGAGGTAGAGCGAAGGAGAGAGAGAGAGAGAGAGAGGATTTCCTTTGTAGAGGATGCTGCGCCTGCGGGCGCAATGATCCCGCGAGGAAACGTTCGCAGCTCTGTCTTCCTCCCAGAGATCTCGGTGAGACGCGAATACATTGCAGATTAGTTTGAATGAGAGACACGTCGTTGAATTCCCCGTGAACCGCTGACGACTAATTCATGAAGTGAATTCCCTCGCGCGATACGCTCGGCGAATAGCGGCGGATTTCTTCATTGACATCGAGATGATCCACGCGAATCGATTCTTCGGACGACATATGGCTTTGTAGCAGTTGCCTTTGTTTTGTTGATTTTTCTTCTCCCTCTGTAATTTCGTCGAGCGGAATGAGAGAGGAGGGAAACAGATCTAAACGAGTCGAATAACGTTGAAAATAACTGACGTTACTAAGAGCGCTTTTTTAACGCGAGACTGAAAAATATCAAATTTCTCGCTAGCGTCAAATTGCTAAAATGGCTCGAATGGCTTCGCTCAGGTACATGTCACGCAGGAGTTTTCACGGTGCAAAATACCAACAATAAACGCTCTTAGTACTGATAGAGTTGATTTTCAAGGGAAATTTATTACCGGATAAAATCATCAGGCGAGACCTGTCGTACGCGCGAGAGAGTTAAAAATTTTTAACCTCCCTCCGATGAAATTACAGTTACAGGATCGGCGCGATGATTGCCTTAGAGAAAAAACGAGGATCGTTGCTCGCAGGTAATTCCATTTGTCTGACTGGATTTTTCTTGTCGAAATAAGATCCGATTAAATTACTATTATTCGCGCGCGAATGAAAAATGAACAGGACGTAATTGAGGGAAAAGAGAGGCGAGGAGAACCGTCGAAGCGTCGAGAATTGCAAATTGAATCGGACATTATTATATGAGCGAAAAGTGAATAAGAGAAGGAAATAGTCGGGGATGATCCGGAGGCGCCGAAAAGCGAAAGTCGAACGGGGATCGATACGCGGGTAAGGACGCAGGTGCATATCTCGCGTCGGGAAATTCCTCGAGAATCTTTCGAAGAAATACCAGGTCGTCGAGTACATCCGGGGAACGGGAAGAGGCGGGGATGGTAGTCTCTTATTTACCCGCGGGATCCTTCGGGATTCACGCCGAGGGGTTGACTGTAACGAATTTTACCTGTCAGATACGGGAGAACGGGGCGGCTGAATTTTACCCTCAGCAGGTGCCGCGATGTAGAGTCCCTCGGATCGCATCGAATCAAAATGAATGTCACCTCGTGTACTAGCGTTCTCGACGCGTTTCGCCCGTGAGATTGAAGACAGCTCGTACCTGCGATCGTCAGGACGCGCGTCCGTGAGTTATAAACACTCGATACTCCAGTCCAATTAGTGGATCCGCGGGATTAACGGTAATCCCGTCGAGGGTTAAATTCGTACCCTTCCACCGAATAGCAGCGATTGCGCTCACGTAGTTACTCTCGCCCTCGTGCCGCGGAGAAACGCGTTACCGAATGCCCCACGATCGAGCGACGAAATTCCTCCACGAATCGTGTCTCGCACGCGAACGACGGTCATTGTTTCTCGTAATTAGCCGAATTCTTTCTGAGACGATCGAGAGAACGCCTGTCTTCTTTCAGTCTCGAATGTCACGATCTCTCGATTACGATGGAGATTGTCGTCCCCTTGAAAGGAGAAAATCGTTATTCGCTGTCGCCCCCGCCCACTGGCCGTTACACGCTTTTGGCGTGCGCTCTCGTTAGACTCGATCTCAGTTTTGGACGGAGACCGGCGTGACCTCGCCCGGGTCACGATCAAGGACGCACATGTCACGGCTCCGGTCGAAATTGTCGGTGCTACTTGGCTCCATTTCGTTTACTTCGTGGATGCACCGACACTCGAATTCATGCTCGAACGGCTAACTGGGTCGATAGCTCGCCCATTGGTGCACGCTGCTATCACACCGTAATGCTCGTGGTTTGCCGCTGAGCTATCGCTATTGTTATTATAATTCCAGCTCGATTATCACTGTAATTTCACGAGGCCGTTGCAATTATGAATTATTAAAAAGGGGAAAGCGCGCGTCACGAGCGGCGCGACCCATTTTTCTCGGCCGTGGACCGGAGCCCGCGGAAGGAAAATTTGCGCGACTTCGTTCCTCCTCCGCTCGCCTTCGTCAACGCGGACCCTCGCGTCCACGGGACTAGGAGACGTTTTTCTTGCGGTCCACTTCGCGTCGAGCTCGCTCTCGCTCGCGCCGCCGGAAACCGCAGATTATCGAGCAGACGCGGAAGTGGAACGGGCGTTTTATCGTTTTATTTCCGAAAGACGAGAGCCCCGGCTCGTTCCTACGCTCTTAGGTTTGCAGGGCCTATGTTTCGGGACGATGAATAAACATGTTCCGTCGCCTCCTTCTCGTCTCTCTCACGCGATTACAGAAAAATTCGGACGAGCGTGCGCCGCTGGCGCGGCGCCAGCTTTTTCCGAGCTGTCGCCGCGAGTTTGTCGCCTCGGTGTCTTTCGGGAACTGGGTTATCCTCGTACACGTGCGTCCGTGAACGTAACGAGGAAGAGTACACGGACGAACGAGGTGGATCAGAGATTTCGGCCGGCCAAAATAGAATCGATCGCCCCGCCTCGTGACGAAGTTCGCGTTCGACACGATGGCGCGCTCGACTCGAGACACCCTGTATACTGAATAATATATCGAATGATCAAACACGACACGGCGCAAAGATGTGGAGAATGTGTTAGGTGATGCGTGGTGGTGTATATGTATTGGCGTTATGTAAGATTATACCGACGATAAGTAGAGGAAATCGATGTGCCCGCGCGAATATTCTCGGCGTCTCTTGCCCCCCCCCCCCCCCCCCCCCTCATTCGTTTCCCGCAAGTCACCGGTAATCGCAGCGCCGTACGCTCGAATTTTACCTCCAGATCGACGACGACCGTTCTCACTCGCGTTTGTACTCGCAAACGAGACCGATCGTCTTCCAAGGAGTGTCTTCCGCAACCTCAGCCGTTTTCCCGCGGGCTATTTCTCCCCGGGTCGATTAGATCGAGCGTCACCGTGCCACTCACGCATTCCCGGACCTGGTAAGACGATGAGCGCGTTGCTCTTGGCTGAGCTTTCTTAACCGTAGAGAACTGCATCCTCCGAGAACCAGCCTCTCGGGAGGAACTTTGGAATCGCTACCAGAGGTCGAGGGATAAATTCGCGCGTTCGAGATGTACGATTACACTTGTCAACGAGATTTTGTTCCCGAACGACTTTCCCTTGTTGAACATGAATCCGTTGTTCAAATTTGGCTATTGGGTCACAGTTTTGGGAAAAAAATGTCGTTAAAAAGGACAGAAAAGCCAGTTTTGAGGGTTTAATAGCAAAGACCGGCGGTAAATTTTTCTCTCACATTTCGCCGCACAAAAGTATCAACTTTTAGCTTTAGAATACATTTTGTATCATTTCAGTACGATTTTTCCTTTTCAATATACAGCTAAACATGATATTGACGTAGAGCGCGCGACCAGTGTTTTTAATTTTAACTGCATCTTGAAAATGGAAAATCATACCGAGAGAACCGCAACATTATGAAATGCATTTTAAAGTGAAAACTTAATGCTTTCGCGTGGCATTAACGAAAACAATTTACGGAAAAGAAAATTTGCTGCCGGTGCTACAAGGTCACGAAAACCCTTGAAAAAAATTGGCGTTTTTGAGCCATTATTCTCAAAATTGCGACTCGGTAGTCACATTTGGACAACGGACTGTTAAGCGGATGGAAACCACTCGGGAAGCACCTGTTTTCATTCCGGATACAGAGGAAAAGTAAAAAAAATTCGTCGACTAGTGTTATGAAGCGAGACGAGAGACCGTCCTCTCCGCTCCTCCGGAGCACGGTGTAAGAGATGTTATCATTGCCAGGAGACTCGGGAACCATACGGAGTCGAATAGTCCACGCGAGGTGGACGAGTGTCAATTCCGTTGAGCGCTCGACGCCCCTCGTGATTGTTCTCCACCCGCTCGCTAAGCGCACGAATCCAGCGGAGGTTGATCCTCGGCGCCATCTCGGAAGGAGAATTCCGTCCTCTCCGAATCGAAGAAAGAGTCGCTCGCCACGAGAAGTGGTCGAGGGAAGAGCGTAGATCGCCGTAGTCGGCCTCCCGGACGAGCGTCGTCCCGGCGTTCGATGACAACTGAACAAGATTTGGTGCTTACCCAGCGTGCGTGAGCGGATCCTCGGGCACGAGGGCGGTGCGCCGAGGAGATCGTCCTCGACCACGACGATCCCGACGGCGGGGGCGGCGACGACGACAACGACGACGACGATGCTGCGCTCGCCGGCGCGCGGCGCCGTCACCGTCCTCCGGGAGCCCCTGTCCGCTTCCGCGTCCGCCGCGGCGGCAGCGGCCGCGGTGGCCTCCTCGACCACGACCGTCTCGGCGCCGCCGACGCCGGTTCATCACGGCGCCGCCGGTGCCGGCGCCGGCAGCTCGAGCGCCTCCTCCTCGCGCCTCTCCCTGCTCGACACCTGCCACAGGAAGATCAGGCTCTTCGGCGAACTAGTCGCGTGAGTTCCCCGCCAGAACGATCGTGTAGATGATTATGTATCTTATAGTGTGCTCTCGCGCGTCAATCTCGGCTCCTCCGGTCGAACGACTCGAACGGTTCGGTGGTGCCTCCAGGTCGAATCGCGGAATCCTCCTCGGGCTGCGAGCGTTCGAGCAGTTGGAATCGTCCGTGAAACCGTACAGTTGGCCGACGATCGGGCGTCGCGGCGCTACCATCCAGTCACTTGAGTCACCTTCTGTCATTTTTCTTGACAAGTCACCACCAAATTTCCTATCGTCCAAAATGGGTCACTATAGGCATTTCTTTCCTGAGCTGCCGTTAAATTGGTAAATTGTAGGCGTTCTATACATATTTTTGCCGTCTCTCTTAATCCTATGATAGCAAGGTCGGGGTCGGATGCGACCCCATTGCCCGTTTATTGTACGCGCTGTTTCTCTTCTTAAGGAATGCGTGATTTACCTCATTTACTTATTTTGTATATTAATTAGACGAAAAATGAACAAAACAGCACAGAGTCGGATCCAATTTTATTTTCTTGAATTCGTGAAAAATCCACCTTATGGCTAGAAAGCTAATAAAACTGCTCCGAAAGCATACTTGCTCATATCCTTGGTCTTTCCTTTAGTTATGAATTTTCAAACCGTATTGTGAAAGAAACTATACGTTAAGGAAGGTTCGAGTTAATGTTACTTTTTCGCTTAAATAACCTTGATTACTATCAAAGTTTGACGAAAAAAAATGTCACTTTTGGTCATTATTTTTTGTCACTTTCTGTCACTCCTTCGCTGAGAAGCAGTTACTATTTCACTTCTTTCGTCCCGGTAACTGGATGACGGCGCTGCGTGTGACAAAGGAGACGCGGATGCGAACGCTGTTTGCCCGCCGTCGAGGAGGAGCACTTTGTGTTCCCGAGATCGTCTCAAGTGTTCCTCGGAGTGATCCACCGGCTCGATCGCGCGCCTCGAACTGTTCGAACGATTCGGTCGCACAGTTTTACTCGAGTCTTTTAGTACAAGCTCTGATATGTACATACGTATCACTACATGCGCGCCGTGAAAATCGCCCGTCGATGTGTAGCAGGGACGCGAGAGGATATTCTGGTCCTGGTTGTGCGCTAATGTTCGGCATTCTCTCTCGGAGGATCAATTCGTTTTAACTCGCGGCATTAATCCAGTTCCGGCGACGACAGTCCGACGAGTCAGAAGTGATGATGACATTGTTAAACGTAAAGTGGTGCCGTAGGACCGGCTACCAGAAGCTTGATAAATATTAATGGTACCTGTTGATGGTTAAATATGTGCCACTATTCTTGGACTTTTAAGATCGATGGACGATGCACTCTAGAGTAACGATCACACGAACTGTCTGACAAAGTCTCTCGTGACTGGAAAACTGAGCATGTTCGGGAATTGCAGAAAATATACACGCACATATATATATATATATATATATATATATATATATATCGATGGCACACACCACACATAGGTCCTACACACACGGTAGTGGTGCCATATTCGCAGCGAACGGTCGAGGGACGTGTGACGTACCGAACAGGGTGGTCACGATTTTCGGATTATCATCGCTCGTGCCTGTCCCGTTTCATACGTGACGCGATTCCGGACCGAAGCCGCTACGATATTATACTATATGTACGTGTTCTGGAAGAAGTGTGGAGTCGTCGTCGCTCGCGGCACAGCCGCGTTTGCGTTTTGACGCGTTTCGCTGGTAACGCGGACGAGAGGATCGGGAGAATCGGATATTTGGGACATCCGCCGCTGAAATTGCATCCGTGGGGAGTACATTGCAGCGTCATGAATATATATATATATATATATATGTATATACACACGATTATCGTTATTACGACGTGCAAACGCGATTAAGCGTGCGGAATTGCAGGCGACGCGCGAGTTTGTACATACACACACTCGGTTGACTCGCGCCAATATCTTCCGTGTGTGCGGAGATACGCAGCTTCTTTCCAGGAGCATGTGCTTTCTAGAGAAGATTTTTTAAGCGCTTTGGATCGTGTAGACATGGCTGAACGTCGCTGCTATCGTTATTGCATGTAATTGCATTTTTCACTGGCAGGAAGCTGAATGTGCGACGCCGGCTGCTGCGTATTTAAACGGGCCGATCTGAAAAATGTACCTCTTATGTTTTGTTCTCACACATAACTTACACACACACACACACACACACACACAAATGCGAACAGGCTGGAACACTTTTTCCCTTGCGAGTTACACGCAGCATTCTTTCGTTCGATTCACACAACTGCGACCTGTCAGTTCTTTTCTCGATGTTCGATATTGTTAAGTATAATTACGCCATATTTATAATTAATTGCTCGCAATCACTGACGATTACGTTTTATCGAATCTGAGTTGGAATTGTATTGCTTTCTCAATTTTCAAGGATCAGCTCTCTCTCTCTCTCTCTCTCTAGCGACTCAGGCGCTGTGAGTCTCGCAGGAGAGCATTTTTGTTTTTCCGATCGAGCCACACCGTCTCCCTGTCCTCGATATTTTTCACACTGGCTGACTCTTAGAACCGCATCGGATTAAAGGGTCTTCAATTCAGCGACGCTCGAAACATCCCGTTTTCGATGTCTTTGCCTGGGACGCGAGGAACCGATCCACCTCTAACGAGAACGACGCGACGCGAGAAATAGCGGCGCGCCGTGATGGATTAAAGGCAGACTGAATGGAGTCGGCAAAGCGCCGGTGATCGTGCAAATCCGATAATTCGCTAATCTAATTGATGAACCCGCGCCAGTCGCGTTTACAGACGATGCGCTCTGTTCCGTCCGCCACGGTCGATCTGAAGACCGCGAATTAGCGCGCGCCATAATGCGTTTTGCGAAAGGCCTCTCGGAAGTTTCACCGACGACTCTTCAAGGACGCTCGCTCTTGACGATCATATGGCTCGATGGCGTCGTTCTAAATCTAATTTAAGCAGCCCACGACAGGATTGATCGATCTATCTCTGTAAACTCGCTGTTCACACTATCTGTTCACGGCAGTCTCATGATCTTTGGATCTCTTTACTTCGTACTCGATCGTGGATCATCGATCGTGAATCGTACGGCAAAACCGACCTTCTGTCCTTTCTTATTCGCTTCTCATCAAACACGATAGACAGGGTGTCATTCACGATTAACCGATCGCGCGTGAAGGAAATCGACGTAACGTCGAAACTCACAAGAGGCGAGACCGGTATCTTCGATCCGCTCGATCGATCAATCAATGTATGCACGAGTATATTAAAAGCGACATGTCTATTGTACATTCAACTATTCACCTCGTCACGAGAAAACCCCCCACTTAACGATGATGAGTTTTTAGCGTTGAATTTGGTTTCGCACAGCGTGCCTATCGAACTCACACGAGGCTGTGGTTATGTGTGTTTTATATATGTAAACATATATCTATAAAAAAAAAACAAAACTTATATAAACGCGATACTCGTGATTTTGCTTGACTGGCTTGAGCGTTTACGGAGATCATCGTCGTGAGCCTCGAGTTCCTCGCTAATTCCACGATTGTTTCGTCCTTGCAGAAAAGCCAGACGAAAGGAGAAAGATGCGGGAACCACGGAGGATCCGAAACTGTACCTGGAGGAGGCGGCCCTCGAGAGGCAGCTGCCGGAGTTGGACCTGAGAATGCTCGTGGATCTACCGCCCGGCCTGGATTACAACGAGTGGCTGGCGTCGCACACCCTCGCACTGTTCGATCACATTAATCTCGTCTACGGCACGATATCCGAGTTCTGCACCATGACGGGCTGCCCCGACATGACCGGTCCCGGTTTAAGGTACGGACTTCCTTTTCCTCTACGGGATGATTGACCTGTGGGAATATACCGTCCAGTATTGCGTCGGCTCGCTTATCAGCCCTTGCTTTCTTCGGAATTCTTCAACTTGTATCGATGGAATGGTTTTATGTAGATTCGATTTAAAAGCGTAAAAGGGATGCGGAAGGAACGGGAAATTGGAAGATTTTACCATTCATCGATGAAGTCTCGAAGATCGATCCGAGCCGCTTATTGGCGCACATATCACCGTTGTAGTTTCGCATTCGAAACGGCCAGTCGATCGGCCACAACAATTGACAACTGATTTATCATTCCAGAACGTATCTGTGGTTCGACGAGAAGGGGAAGAAGACGAGAGTGGCGGCACCACAATATATAGACTACGTTATGACATTTACGCAACGCACTGTTAGCGATGAAACTATATTCCCTACAAAATACGGTAAGAGAACTGCTTAACTTTTTGACACTGTGTGCATTTTTCTTTTTTTTTTTTCTTTTCTTTCTAAGATGCGTTATGTTCGTCGAAAAGCACAAGGTCGATAATTAGAAATACATTTTCGTCGACGGTAATCACAATCGACTTTAAATTGGCTCGAATCAATGAAGGTATAATTAAGAGCGACGGGTGAGAGCGACAGCGATTGACGTATCACGATACTTTGCAGCAAACGAGTTTCCAAGCTCGTTTGAGTCGATAGTGCGTAAGATCCTGCGGCTACTGTACCACGTGGTGGCACACATTTACCACTGCCACTTCAGGGAGGTGGCGCTCTTGGGGTTGCACGCTCACCTCAATTGTGTGTTCGCCCACCTCACGCTCCTCAATCAACGCTTCAACCTTATAGATCCCAAGGAAACGGAAATCCTGGGGGACTTAGAGGCCGCCCTCTTGGGTAAGTTTCGCGCGCGCGCGCGGTATTGATCGATGCCGGTTACGCAATGTGCCCGGCATCGGGAGATCCTGGGAACCCAAGCGTGTTTCGAGCGAAGGAAGCGTTTGCCTCCGAGCGATCGATCGCGAGCCACGCGTCTCTTTCGCGCGAAGGGAACCTCCTCTTGTTGCTATTAAGTCAGTTTAATTCGAAACTTGCGGTTCGCGTGCGGTCTGCGGCGTTCTCTCCGCTGGAGGAGGCCCGCTCCGCTCGAGCAGGTTCTCTCGATCATCAATCGCGCGATTAAGAAGCGAAGCCGATTACACACACGTGTCAGGCGTATATTTAGGCTACATTAATCCGTCCCGCTGTGGGGAAATTGCTGTTCGTTTTTTTTTTTTTTTTTTTTTTTTAATCGATTCTTCTGCTCACAGGTGNTTAATCGATTCTTCTGCTCACAGGTGACTCGACATCCGCGCCTTCGCAGACCTTAGCCATCCAGGAGACTCCGACCACAACCACCACTACTACTATCACCACCACCACCACTACCACCACCACCACAACCACCACCTAGATCGCGTTGCGTCGTAGCGAGCGAGAAAAGGTTGCAGTTCCTGAGACTAGGTGACGATAGGCGATTCGTTCGTTTGTTCGTTCGGTTATCTTTCTCCTCTTTTCCTTTTTATAGACACTACGCGAACAGATAAGAATACAGATTGTGATGCCGTGAGCGTGTTAATTAGTAGCAGGATCGCGAGAATGGCCGAAAAGAGAGAGAAAGAACGGCGATTCTGTAAAAAATGAAAAAAAAAAACAAAGAAAACGATACCAGTAGTACCTGTATATAGCGAAGTGTGAACAATTACATGATGTAATTAGGTTCCTCCGTTTGTTGTTTGTGAGATTGTACATAATTTATTAAATAGTAAGATATATACGAGAGAGAGAGGGAGAGAATGTGCGAGAGAAAGAGAGAGAGAGAAAGTGCGACAAAAAGAACGAGTATTGATTATTATTGACAAAGAGTTAGTTGCTATAAGAGATAATTTGTTCTGTAAAAAATGAAACAATAATAATATTGTAAAGTTAAAATAATACCAAATATATACCTGGTGTTAAGGCACGTGTTATTGGTGACAAGTGGGGATGTGGGGATCTCCCCTGCTCAAGACTCAACTTCCACGATTCCGAGCAAAGTATCTCGCGGTATCCCTCGGGGACGCCTCCACCACCTCGACTGTCCGTTAAAGATTCTTCATCGTGTAAGTCTTGATCCGATCCCGACTAATATTCATCTCGAAGTGACTCATCTGCCTCCCGTTAGATATCTGCAATGACTCGAGGTATTTTTTAGTAGTGCATCGCCAGCTGCGCGTTCAAGTGCAAGCAGCGGTCGGCGGGTGAACGTGCTTCACTTCCACGAGTCTGATCGCGGCGCAGAGGTTCGCTATCTCCCTGAGAAACAGGCCGAGCGCCTCGGCTATCGGCTCGCAGAGATCCCTCAGCGACGTGGCGACGTTGTATAGTAATATCAGTATCGGCTGTATGACAGCGTTGAACACGATGGACAGCAGAGGTTTCACGAAGTAATCCGCTATCAACTGCAATATCCCCACCGTCAGCGGCCGGATCGCGCTGTAGAGCACGAAGCGAAGAAGCTGCAGGATGAAAGCGGTGATGAATGCCGTGCCTATGTGAATCGTGCCGAAGATCTCCGCCCAGAAGCGCGTTGCCGCTTGATCCGTCTTCTCCGCGCACTTGTCCGTAGTTAACACGGGATGACAGTCGGTCGTTTGATAATATCTGCCGAGAGAAATATTGCATCTTATTCGCTTGCGTTGGGTTATGCCGATTGATAGGCTTTTTCCACGATTCCACTTCACTTTGGCAAAGAGGGAAAGTAGAGGGACTATTATTCATTATTATAAGCTTATTATAAAGTCTATTATTTCCAAACATGTATTGAAAGACCATCACCAAAGTGTCAATTAAATTTCGGATCGTTCTGCGTGGATATTTAATAATAGACTTGTCCATCTTAACTGGGCTAGTGTTGCACTTCTTTCCTTTTTCCATCACCTTCGTTAAGTTGTGTATTTGTTTCACTCTTAGTGCAAAAAGTGCGATCTAGTTCGGCTAAACTGGACAAACCTATTGAATCAACCGCACTCACGCTGAGTTTCCATGATCGAAGTAGTAGATCTCGATCTTCTCCACGGCCTCGTCTCTCTTGAGTTTCGTTTTCGCGTGGTGCTTGGGCAGCTTCACCGACTTGCCGGGAGGATCGTGGGACTTTTCGATCTTGCTCGATATCCCGTCCGATGTGTCGCAACAGACGAAAGGCTGAAATTCACGGGCCGCGTCGGGCGGCTGTTTACGCATTTTGGCGTAGCGAGGACACTGAGTTTGCTTCAGCTTGATCTCGTAAATCTTGTTCTCCTTGCCGCAGTACGCGTTTTTCGGTCGTTTCCACTTGAAACGGCCCCAGAACGGCCTCGATTGCGGTTTTTCTAAGAAAATCACTTCACTTTATATCCGGCTCTTTGTGCCAGAATCATCAATTCGCCGTTACAAACGACGATTATTGCGTATACCTTCCCTGAGTTTCACCGGCAGAACGTAACCGTTGCTGAAACGACAAGTCTACTTTAAGAGATAAATCGGTCAACGTAACGGAAAGTGATGGGTACTTACATTTTGTGAGTGTGACAGAGGCAAGGGAAACTCGGCAGGTATTGCGATGTCGTCATCGCCGTTGTCATCGGGTGCAGATCCCTCGAACTGTCCTGCTGCGATTGATGTACCGGTCCTGTCGGAACCGATATTGCAGTCGTACGACAACTCGTAATCGACGGCACGTCGGGAGGACATTCGCAGTCCGTATCTGCACACGGGACAGTTGTATCAACAAATTGGTAAAATTAGATAGACAAAGAGACAAAGGGACGAGTGACAACTACTACGATTAAACTTTTGTTAAAAAGAAATTCATACCAAGTCCGCAATGAGAGCGATATCCGGCTTGTATAATTTCGAAAGACATCCAGAGATGCTTACCTTTGGGTCCTTCGGCCGAATCATTTTCTTTGTCGGTCGTTTTGACGTAGAGGTTCGCGTCGGGAGTCCTGGCCGGGGTAACGTCGTCTGAGTGCAAGGACGTTACATTGGACGGTTCCGTCGTGTCGGTGCAAGAACAATCACCCTCTGTAACCATGTTGAACTCATTTCCTTACGATGAAACGCATTGAACGAAAAATTAAATTAACAGCGACTAACATCAAGCAAACTGCAACGAAAACTGAACTATCGGAACAATGGCGATAACAAAAGCGATTTGTACCTGTACGCTTACATATGTTGCGCGTATTCAAGTGGTATCGTGTTTAATTAGACGGTATTCACTCAGCAATTGGTATGTCCGGGAAGTATTGGTGGGCTTTCGTTAAATAGGATATTACGAGCTCGCTTTGCTCGTATTTACCAAATTTAAATTTGTAATTAAATTTGTGCATTCAAATTTGTAATTAAGCCGCTAATCACGATTCTAGACAGATCGCCGAAAGGCGTGCGCATGCGCGCGAAAGTAGCGCGCTTCCCCGTCCAATCGCTTTTGACAAATTCCTGCGCGCGATGCACGCCACATTCATCGCTGTTCAATTCGTTTTCCGTTTACGGCTAAGGTATGCAAATTTCGCCTGCTTTTTCCAAGGTTACTTCTCAAAACGTTCTTTTCGTAGAAAATTTTACTCAGTAGCCTCTAAGTGATGAAAGAGGGACCAATCAGAAACGCTCAACAAGTTTTGGAACAGCCACCGAGAGTGAAATTTTCCTTGGAAAAAGAACGTTTTGGGATGCAGCCCAAATCGATAAAGACAGTTTTGGGTACATATTTGCCAGTGCCAGTTTCACTGAAGAAAATGTTGAAGCTGTAATCGCTACCTCTGATACTCTAGTCAGATGGCATCGCTTTGATTATGGCTGATATTTCTAGTTCGTAATTATATTTCTTTTTTGCTTCTGTTGCAGACTTATAAAATATGCTGTAGGAACTAATACTGTATTGTTCCTCTGCTTCTATAGCAGCACCTCACCGGAGAAAACGGCCTTGCTCTTAAACTATTTACTATTATTTCTATTTTACCGAGAGACTTGCCACGGCCGACTGACTCGTTCGCCTATTTCGTTCTCTTTAAATTTCGCGCCCGCTCTTTTGCTTCTGGTGGCGATCACTCGCTCGCTTCCAGTGGCGCCCTCCTTGCTTACGGCTAGCTTAAAACTTTTACAGTGTGATCGCGTCCTCGTGGTTCTTCGCCATTCTTCATCCAGCCAATATGATGTGAGTACGAACTTCTACTCGGTATTCACGATTGATCCCTTCCCAAAAGCACCATTATTGCGTATTTTGTGAACAATAATGGTCGTCAAGCGGAAGGAAAGTAAAGTCTTCACTTGGTGAGGGCAATGCGATTTGTAACATTGCACCTCAATCCGTGTTGATACACTTCATCCGAAAAAGATCTAATGGTCTTTGTATTTATTCATTTATTTATATATTCAAATTCTATCCGCATGTAAAAATTTCTTAAACTTATTATGGAGGAAACTGAAAGAGATGTAATTGTTAGTAAGTGCTAAAATATTCGTGAAAGCTTCGTCAGTTCATTTCGAATTTGTTCTTAAGATGGCCGTTCACAAAGGTAGCACGTGGATGAACCTTTTTAGAAACCAAATACTTTTCTTATATACTTATTAATATATCAAGAAATATATTAAGTTGTTACAAATGAAATATTCGTTTTCGCAATGTCAAATGTTTCCCGAAATATTTTTATCAATAGATATTTTTATATTTATGGATATATTATATATTCTTTAAAAGCTTAGAATTTCTTCACTCATCAGATTTTAATTTTCTTGATTTGTATATTTAAATGTGTGTTTAACAACTTTCTTTTCAGCATAACTGAAGATGATTTACGTGTACTCATTTTATACCAATGGAAAAGTGGTCATAGTATTGCAACAGCTGCTTGCAACATCAATGCTGTATTTGGCCGAAACTCTGTTAATCAACTCACCATTCATCGATGGTATGAAAAATTCCAAACTGGACATGAGGGTCTCAAATATGAAGAATGTGGAAGACAAGGACAACCTGAACGATAAGAAATTGAAAACGTTGGTTGAAGCTAATTGGACTTTTCTACTCGGTATTCACGATTGATCCCTTCCCAAAAGCACCATTATTGTATATTTTGTGAACGATGATGGTCGTCAAGTGGAAGGAAAGTAAAGTCTTCACTTAGTGGGGGCAATGCGATTTGTAACATTGCACCTCAATCCGTGTCGATACACTTTATCCAAAAAAGATCTAATGGTCTTTGTATTTATTCATTTACTTATATATTCAAATTCTATCTGCATGTAAAAATTTCTTAGACTTCAAACAGTCTGAGAATTTGCAGGAAAGGGTATAATACTGCAATTTACTGTTACCTCAGGTCAATTGGCAAAATTAAGAAACTCGACAAGTAGGTTCTACATGAACTCAACAAAGGACAAAAAGTTCAACATCAAGAAATCTGCTTTTGCGCAATGATAAGGAGTCATTTTTATGTCGTATTGTGACTGATAAAAAATGGATTCTTTGTAACAACTGGCGACACTCTGCGCAATGATTGGATGCCATTGAAGCTCCACGATATATGCCCAAGTCTGCATCCAAAAAAGATGGTAGTCACTATTTAATGGTCAGTGGCCAGTGTTGTCTTCTACAACTTCTTAAATCCTAGCGAACAATTACATTTCCTGAATTCGAAGTCATGCACCAGAAGTTATCTGAAAAATAGTCCGTATTAGTTAATCGGGCAAGGTTTATTTTGCTGCACGACTATGCTTGCCTGTACGTTTCGTAAATAGTGATACAGAAGTCCATTGTTTTGAAACATGAAATTTGCCTTATTCTCCGTATTTACCAGACTTATCACCAACGTGTTACCACTTTTTCAAGCACTTTGAACTTTTCTACTCGGTATTCGCGATTGATCCCTTCCCAAAAGCACCATTATTGCGTATTTTGTGAACAATAATGGTCGTCAAGCGGAAGGAAAGTAAAGTCTTCACTCGGTGAGGGCAATGCGATTTGTAACATTGCACCTCAATCCGTGTCGATACACTTTATCCGAAAAAGATCTAATAGTCTTTATATTTATTCATTTACTTATATAATCAAATTCTATCTGCATGCAAAAATTTCTTAGACTTCAAACAGTCTAAGAACTTTTTCTTCTTTCTTCTAGTCCAGAGTCTATCAGAATTGCTCTCGAAGAATTCATTGATTCCAGAACGTCGGATTTCTGTTAAAATGGTATTATTTTGCACCAATTTCTTATCGAGATATATTGTCGATATTCTTTCTTTTTAATTATAAATTGTAGAAGATGAATGATCTCTTTGTAAACTAGGCTTGCGATATGAATGATATTGTACCTGATATTATAAGGAAAAATTGTTTTCTTTAAGTAAATGTTATTTAAATGTATATGAAAACAAACGAGACATATGTTTACTTAAATTTTACTTATCATTAATTTTATCATTACGTATTTTCATATCAGGTTGAAGAATATCACCAAGTCTAAGATGCAAGTTTGTGCTCTTGACGATTAGCGGTATCGCGATGAAGATAAGGCCAATGGTATCCTATATGATATACTCAAAACGTTAATAAGGATAAAAACCGTGTAAAGAAGCTTGGAAGTCAGAAGTCAGAAGAATATTGTCTGTTCTTTATAATGATGTTCTTTGTAACGATTGATCCTGCCGAAGAACATTACGTATCTTATGAATAATAATGGCTGTCAAGCAGAAAGAGTCGATCAAATTAATTTCTCATCTGCTTGATCTCGAGTATAACAAAAATGATAAATTCCTTGGATTACTTCATCAGTTGTCAATGATCAGTAAAGTCAACTAAGCCAGGGCCGTCATGAAGTTTCAGGTATGTAGCGCGATCAGATACGTGGCGATTTTCTCTCACAAGAATTACGATTATTCTTTCTCTTTGTTCCATAGATATTACATAGATGTTACGTCTGTTGTGGCAGTCAAAGACATCGAGATGATGCCCGACGAGTTGATACAGAATGCACATATCAATAAACTTCTTAGTTTCTCTGCTGAAAAAACTGCCGGAACATGTAATTCGCTGCGTATCAAATCGTTCATAGGACCACCGTATTGACTGTACTGAGTTACGTTCAGTACGTATGTTGATGTACATACGTTGTAAATAAAAATGGGAACAAACGAGAGCCCGATGGATTCGCTCTTCGTGTATTTCGTATATCTCGTGTTTGCGATAAAACTCTTGCCTCGTAACCTGATATCAACTTCGACAAATTCTAAAAGTCGCGATAGGATAAGAAGTATTTTATGTAATCACGGTGTATGTTGTGAATATGCGATAATATAAAGCGGTCACTTTGGTAAATTCCCCACGGATAAAAAGGTAATAAATAGATAAATAGACTTATCTTGCACCTTCGTAAAGAATACTTGTGTATACGCTTGTATCACCTGTTACACGCCGTTACGCCTTGAAAATTATCGAGTAAATCAACGAGCGTATATTTTTTTTTACTTATTTGCTGTAAAATACAAGTAAACAAAGTAGCAGTAAATAAACATTAATGATCTTCGAGAGAACGTTATTAATTAATTTTGCTTTTTAAAAAACTCCGTGAGCTACCAACAGGCAGGTAACACAAGGTGATACCAAGCTTAGCCAAATCGGCTAATTATATTGCTTTAATTGATAACAATACGCATAATTCTTTGCTCTCTTGCAATTAATCTAAAATATAATAACTGATCCAACTAACGGCAGAATATCTTGTGATTATAACGATTCGATACGCTTCGAGCGTACATTACTCGAAGTATTTCCCGCTATTTACTTTCTGTTAAGGTTCCTTGCCCGTCCAGTTACCTGTTCCCAAACCTTCCAGTAGGGCATAGATGAGGTACTACTTGTTCGACGCTAACGCAACGGGCGATAAAGGAAGGGAGCCGGGCCCAGAATCCTGCTTATGGGACGCTTCTTTGGAGGCTGCGCCCGCACGCGTAGGTAGATATATACCTGCTTGCGCGTGTGTATGTGGGTCCTACAGGCCTGACTACAGGGCACATCACGGCCAAGCTATTTCCAAACGATCTTTGTGGGGGCAGTACGGCGGCGGTCGCTGCGCTTTGAAGGAGCACATGGTCTCAAGTTCCGCCTCGTAAGCAGATGCCAGCGGAGCCGAGGACCCGCGTCTCACGTTCCGCTTCCTCTTTTCGCATTTTTACGCGTGCGACCCTTGCGGAACTGTCCCACTGCGTGCGAGTGTTCCTCAATTTTCTGGATATCCTCCTCGGGATTTCCGGAGGACGATCCGCTCCTCCTTGCGATCTCCTTGGGATACTCCAACACCAATGGAGTGAAGTATTCGTGTAAGTTCAGTGAGTCCGTTTCGAGTTCGTTCCCGAGATGATTACTATGGCGGAACCTGGGTAAATATTTTTCGAGAGATCGAATGCTTTTTTTTATATATATATTTATGTATATTTATTTATTTTATATATTTACTTATATTTATTTTCATACTTATATTGATTATTTATATTTATTTATTTCTCTTTTATACTTGTATTTGCTTTTTATTTATATATGTGTATCTAAATGTATGAATTATGTTAATTAATACAGAGTGATTAGAACAATTCAACTGTGAAACTTTATTATGTATATGAAACAAATCTTATAAAAAAAAAAATTGTTCCAGATCAATATTAGGACATCGGTATATATTTTTCGTTTTTAATCACAAATGGTTGAAAAAATTTCTCGATGAAGGATCTCTTTACGAATTAAACTGAAAGGACAATGAAAATTATCACATTTATTCTCAAGTAGATCACTGACTGATGTAACGATAACACTCCGGACTTGCGAAACGAGTATCTTCGCGCGGTGCATAATAAAATACGCAATAATGTGTACGAAAGAGGACGAATTTAATTGATAAACGCAAATATAATCATTATCGCGCTCGACAAAGTGATTTTCTGATATCGGCGATCTGATTGTTGCCCCCGATAAAATTGTCGCTTTTCGTAAACCGATAATCCGGCGATGTGTATTTACACACTTTTTCTGATGACCACCGCGAGAATAATCACCGATAGTGTTATCGAATTGCGGGCCGCGGAAAATTCGTCGGCCAGCCGCGGAAAGATGGTGAAATCGCCGGTTAGTCGCTGTTAAAACCCGGCGGTTGTGCGTGTAAAAAAATCTCGCCGATGGAGTAACAGCTCAGACAGCGCGATCTCCAAAATCGGGACGCGAGATGTCTTTTAGACGTCTTAAAAACGACTTATATTACGATATCTTCAGGACAACTTAAAGATGTCCCGATTTTGGACATTCGTGTTGTCTGGAAATCGGTGAGAAACGCGGAATCGCGAGCTATTGCATATTGTCAGCACGGAGATAATCCCTCGCGAGATTATCAGCGGTGTACACACGAAAACCCGAGCAGTCGCTCCACCTTGTTCTGTCCTGCCGCGCGGGAGGACGTGGAAATGGCGAAAAATCGCGGGCAACTGGCGCTTGTATTTGATTAATAAAGTGATCGCGAAGAGTGCACTCTCCGGACGAGAGTGGACTCTGGCTCGTTATCAGCGATATCAACTGGTAGAACGGAGACGACCGGCCGGGCGGAAGGCTGTTAACGAGCCGCGCGCGGTTGGGCAACGATTATCGACAACGGCCGATGACGACGGCGACGAGTCACTGACGCTCCTCTCCACCTTTTTCAAACAGTCGTGGAGGGACCCGCGGTCCGATGCTATCGTAAGCGTGGATTATCTATTCGAGGATCGCGCGGAATCGATAACGCGAAACGCAAATGTGCGAACGAGTGAGGGAGTGAGTGAACCGAGCGAGCGAGCGAGCGTTGCTTCTCTTTAATTCGAATAACGATAAGGAAGAGAAGCGAAAAAGAGAAGAGAGGAACCAGTAACTCTTCCGCTGTGACTGACACGATTCGAAAGAATGCGGAGCTTCGCGAGACTTCAACGGTAAATACTCGGCGTCTCGGGGGATTAGTAGGATCTTCAGTACGCGCGATAAAATGTATAATGTATGAAACATGAGTGCGCAGGCTGCCCTCCGTCGCATCGTGGAGACCGATATTTTATTAATGACAACGATTAACGTTGTTTCGCGTCGTCTAATTAATTTTGCCAGCTCGCGAACGAATCCGTACGTACGCTCTTATTCACGTGCGAAAGTATCGCGTCATGTTTCGATATCGGCCGTCGGCGACGAGTTCGGTGTGAAATTCGGGACCGGAGAAAATTTCTTCCCAAGTGTAACATAGACCCTTTTCCTCGGTAAAATTGATTTCCTGGGGGACCTCTTCGTTTGGGGGGGGGGGGAATTGCCAGNTTGTGCGAAATTTAGATATTATCCTTGAATCGCGTGTGCAATCCTGTTCTGATGGGCGTGAAAGGAAACAGATATGACCGCTGGAAATCTACAGCTCCCAAATCATTTCCGTTCTGCGTACAAGCACTGACTGTTCTACATTTTAACAGATATATTCATGCCTCTGTGCCATCGAGAAAAATAATCGCGAATATTGCGTCGCAACCCGGTTGCGAGGAGAAAATAATGTTACGTACTTGACGTATCGTATAAAATGGATACTTGAGATTATTTAATAATGATAATGTAATATTTTATCTTCAAATTAGCTAAGAAGTAATGAGTTTCCAGGTTTTGCAGTTTCTTCACGAACAAGCGTGACTAATGCGCTTTGTTTCTTGATATAACGAAATCGTCCGGGAGAAAATGATTATATATGATTATATATAATTATATAAAATCATATATGAATTTTGCTCATATATGTGGTTACATATATGATCATATACGAAACAATATAATGTTATGTCATTTAATTAAACGTCGATATTACGTGCTGCCAGAAGCATTTACTTCGATTGTATCTGCATATAATTTGTGGACAACATTATTTTTTCACTGTGGACATATATAATTATACATAGTCATATACGTCCAAAATTCACACATGACCCTTTTCTTTCCCGAGCGTTGATTCTGTTGGATTCGAAATTCGTCGGTTTTTTTTTACCAAGTGGCGCAAATAAGGTGTTCTCCGAGAAGCTAACGATCGATTTCTCCCTATTTGCAGCACGTCGTAGAACATGATTCTCGAAAAACACTTACTGCTGCTCGTTCACGTTCTTTGTTTCCTCTGCGCACGTTGCGACGATGACACGTTCACTTCGTCGGAGACCGCGATCGTTGAGTTTACGGAATCAAACTACGATAAAGGACCTACAGAAAGTTTTACGTGCTGTGATTCTACGAGTATGCCGAGTCTCACGAGCCAGGATCCTAGATCTACGGACAGCCTCGAGGACTCCACGATATCTGAACATTCTACTATGATCACGCGTGAGTCAACCATCGAGGCTGGGTACTCGGCGAATTTGCCGACAGATCCTAGCGAGGAAGCGACGAGCATCTCTTCCACCGTCGGTTCGACCACGCAGACGACAAGGACCACCGTAATCGACGATACGACTACTACGAGCACGATGAGTCCCATCTGCGATTCCTCGTGGCCAGTAAACGCAACGGGTGATTGAAACAATCTTCATGGGAGATAAGCGATATATCTACTTACGAGAACTAAGAAAAGTCTTGATTTTACGCTCTTATCTCATATATTGATATATTCGTATTTTTTTGCAGAAGACACGAGGGAAGTGATTAACTTGAAGGAAGAGGAGATCGGCGCAGAGTGGGTCACTCTGTCGTGGGAATTTCTATGTGCAACGAGCGTCTCGGTAACATACTTCATCGAAAGATGCGACGATGAGAAGAATTGCAAGCGGATAGACCAAAACGACACGTGGTACAATGCGACCGGCCTCGATGCGTGCATGCTGTATACATTCACTGTGAGGATTTCCACGGGTCATTGGGAATCCAAAGGAACCGATTTACGAATAACGACAAAAGATACCAGTAAGTATATATCGGTTCACGTTTAAATCGATAGAGATTAACGGAATAAAAAGTTTACAATTGGAGTTAATCTATACAAAAGAGATCTTTCTACATTCGTTTTTTCTTATCCTTTACACTCGCCCTTACACGAGACTTGGCGGTATTCAAGTAAGTACTAAAGGCATAAGCACTCCGATGGAAATATTAATAATATAGTAGCTTATCGATGCAATTAACACATTTATTAATAAAATATTAATCTTTCTTCCAGTTTCCGAAATCGGAGATGTACGCTTCTTGAATGTGAGCGCCGTCGACCTCAACAGCGTCCAATTAACTTGGCTAGCGCCCGAGAAACACACGAGATGCATATCGAATTACTCGATCACGCAGTGCATCGGACAGTCGTGCAACGAGACCGCGGTCCCCGTCACGAACTACATCGCCGACAATCTCGAGCAGTGTACGCAGTACAACTTCACCGTTAAAACGGTGACACTAATCGTGGAATCCGCCGGTGCGAATGCGAGCGCGAAAACAGTCTCGCCGAGTGAGTATTAAGTGTCTCGGAATTAGCGGAAAGTGGACGCGCGTCGAGTCCACTTTCCGCCGATTCTCGAACGGTCTGCGCACGTCGCTCACGCAAATTCGCTTCCGATTCTCCAATTTGCAGTACTGTTGAAGCCGCAGTCCATCACGATAATACCGAGCAATTTTTCCTTGACCGTCCAATGGCAGCCGCCGCAATCTGGCTCGACCTGTCTGAAACATTATCGCGTGATTGTAACTCCCGAAAACTCGAGCAAGATTATCGTTGGAACGAACACGACGATCGAGAATTTGTACGCTTGCGTCTTGTATTCCGTGTTCGTCAACGCTGTGAATGAGGATGATCAGGATGGACACGTGATCTCCGGAAAAGGAGAGACAACTCCAACCAGTGAGCGCGATGATTCTAATTTATCTGAAATACCGTGATTTAAAATAATATGTTACTATTGATATAAATAAATAAATATATATCTTCTTCTTCCAAGTCTTTTACATCTTGACAGATGTGTGATGACTATAAAAATATATATATATATATACAAATAACGATATATTTTAGAGACAGGTCCGCCGACATTGCAAATAGGGGATCTGACAACCACGAACAGCATATTGGTGTTCGTGAATATCACAAAAACGAACAATCATTGTCCGGTGAAATCCTTGGTAACCGTGTGCAATTACACGTCATCGAACGGGACTGGATTTGAGCTTCACAGCGGTGTATCCTTTGATCACTTGGATACGAGGAACCCTGAAGAGTCTTTCATTTCTCTGAATACGACCGTGAGCGAACTGAGTCCTTTTACAGAATACGCTTGCAGGTCGCGCACTCTTAACGACGGCGGATCCAGCGAGGACAGTAACGCAGTCACCACTCAGACATTGGAAGATGGTGAGCGTGCGTTATTGTCGTAACAATATTCTGATTCGGTGCTCGGAATTATCTGTACTTTCGAGATGATTTCCGGAAGCTACGCCTTTTTTCCCCTTGCCTCTTCCGCCTCGCCCGTTGAGTCTAGCGATTGACAATCTCAGACAAACTTACAAGATCTGTGAGGTGTCCCTTGATTGCTGAACAATTCTTCGGTTCTATCGTTGTGATCTTTGTTGTATCGTTGTAACATAATATCAATGTTATAACTTCCCACTCAACGATGTAACTGTCACATAACACACATGTTTTATTGCATTGTTGAATTGGAAATTATAACATTGATGTTATGTCATTGTCAGTCGGTGTTTGCTGGGAGTATAATTGTATTGATGTAAAAATATAAGGACATGGAGGATGCATGGTTTCAACGAAAACTTGTCAGAAATTGAAGAGCGTCTTACACATCTTATGAAGTTGAAGAGGCGCAAATAATTCCGAATACTCTCTTTTAATCAATAGCTCAGCTGGATCGATTCAATCACCAACAACCGCGCTATTTGTCCGTCGATTGTCAATCGTCGGATTAATGACATTGCTCTCGTGTGCTTAACACGATTAATTAGCATATTTTAGCAATTGAAGCTTCCATCCAGCGCGTTAATGCTCCGATTTGTCGTCGATTTCAGTGCCGGGTCCGCCGAAGTTTCTCGTGACGAACATCACGGAGTCACAGTTCTCATTAGCTTGGAACCGGCCGGAGCACTTACCCGGAATCGTGGAAGATTACGATATCAGGCTCCTTTGGACTCCGCTTTTCCCGGTGCCAACTTGGTGCAATCCCGAGATATCGAACACCGACGAGATCATGGAGCTTAACGATACGCGATCTTATGATTATCTCAAAGCGAAAGCATACAGGCAATACGAAGTGAAGATGAAAGCTAGGACGGGTGCGGGATGGGGGAATTATAGTGAGTCTTGGATGTTTTCGAGCAAATCGACAGGTATGTTTCGCCCTGCTGTTTCTTCCCACTTTACTACGATATAAAATCGTCTATCGATATGAGAGCAACCTCTCAAGCGCTGAGCTGTTTTCGCACGTTACTTTACTATTTTTTGTTCGTTATCGTTTTATCGTTAAAAAAGGAAAGATCGGATTAATTACTGGTTATTAATGGATAATGTGCATCCTGCTGCTCCTACTATTCTGACATTGTGTGTTTATTCAGTTTCAGATGAGGTCACGAACGTCGTATGTAATATCGAGCCGCATTTGAACGATACGAACAAATTGGACACGATCGTAAAATGGAAAATGCCATGCTCCTTAAACGGTAAACTTGAGGTTTACAATGTGTCGGTTCACGGCATCAGAGACGGATATAAGAATCACACCTTTTCCATATCGGAGGAATGCGCCGATTATATCGACAACAATTACACGTGCTCGGTGAATCTCCAAGAGCTGAAAGGAGAATACAATTACACCTTCTCAGTGTCCCCGAAAATTTTGTACGTCGATGCGCCTGGACCAGTGACGAGTAGGCACGTACTGTATCCTGCCGGCAGTGAGTATCAATTCACACATAATTCATCATCGATGATCCTTCATCCATCTTGGATACCTCCAAGAGGATATATCTGATAATTCCGATCTCAAGCCATTAATTTTTAATATTCAACTTAGTTAAAGATTAACCCAACTCTGGACAACGTTCACACATAATTAGTTCAAAATTCGATACCGTATTCTCCGCGAGTTATATCATACATATATATACCACGCATGTGTATAAAAATTTCCAAGACTCTTCTTTGTCGTAGTACCGTCGCAGCCAGATACCCAATACGTGCGATCGATCACTATAAATCCACTCAAGGCGATCAAAAGCACTACGACGGCTACCATCTTGCTGCCCTTGTTTCCCGACACGAATGGTAACATCAAGTACTACGCCATCATGGTCTCGGAACTAGGATACAATGAGCCGATGAGCGCAAGGCTCGATCTGAAAAACAACTCATGGCCGAACGCGTCCTCCTGGCGGGAGGCCATGTTGAACGACTTTTCCATAACGTATCAAGCGACAACCCCACTGTGGAATCCTTATCGTAGGTGATATGTCCGTGCGGACACAGGACGACTGTTTGCGAAGCGCGAAACCCAAGCGTCGCGCACCTATGCATTATTAAATAGCCTCCTTTTTCAGCGGACCACGTCATTGATTACGGGCACAAATTCAAAGCGGTCAAGTTCACAATCGGCACGGACAACTTCTGCAGCGATATCTCGTCTAACTCTGAGAAACATCCACTCTACTGCAACGGACCCCTCAAGCCGGACACGTGGTACCACGTTAGAATAAGGGCGTTCACCGAAGGTGGTTACGCCGATTCCGCGCTGTTCGTCGCAAAGACCGGTGAGTACGCTGTAATCCGGTTGCAGCGCGCGGTCGGGCAAATTAATGTCGCTCTATAAATAAGTTACATAACGCGATATGCATACGTGCCATTTAATATGCTCTCTTTCCGTAACTCGCGATACCGCAGACGCAGAGCTGAATGTCGCAATCGTCATCGGGGTCGTCTTCGGCATCCTTTTTCTGGGTATACTGACGACGATGATGTTGCTCGTGCGAAAGTGCTCGCCGTACGTGTAAGTCACAACTCTTCTTATTTCCACACGAAGAGAGACAGAGGACGGAGACGACGTAAGAGCGAGCGTCCGGCGGATCATCGCCGTTGTCCTGAAACTAGTTCTTGCGATTCGCCTATCTCGAATCGCGTTACTTATCGCTAAACTCGTTCCACGTGCTTGGCTATGCGACGGTAGAGCGAGATAAGACGAACTTTCTCTAGTCGCTCGAAATTACCGGGACTAGTGTTTTCTTTCGAAAGGCTTTGGCATTCAACGCTTCCGGTGTACGTGATTCGAATTTCGACGATATCGGGGTTTCGAAACATCGGAATTATAAGGTTTCTAAACTATACAATATCTGGTACATTCATTCAATCACAAAATTCGTTAGTAACATTTCCCAATATTCCCGGAATAAAATATACGAAAACATGAATCTACAGCATATTCGCGAAATTGTACTCTTCGGAACCTCGGAACTTCGAAGATTACGGCCTTCGTCAAAATTCGATAGTTCGAATTTCCTTCGGAGGCATTGAAAATTGTCGCAGATTAACTAATTGCGAGAGAGTTGAGATTCGTATAAAGCGCTAATCAGAATATATCGATCGGCGTCGGTTCGCGCGCGCGAGGTCGATATTGAAAATCCCGACGCGATGACGCGGTCACGCGCACGTTCCAGGTAGACGCGTTTATGAACAATGATCAATATTTATTCTATGACTCAGAAGAGCGGGGGACTATAGCTAGAGCGTAAGCAAGGTCACTCGATGCACGCGTCTATCATACGTGCTAAGATATACAGCACATTAGTTGGGCTCGGCGTTGAATGAGGTGTCAGTTTGACCGTCGCCGCGCTACCGCGAGAGAGCCGACCGCCGAATCGGGTATTTTTATCATGAGTATTTTGGAACATGCGTGAGACAAAGGTGAATAACGATAGAGACAGTGTCGTTGCAGGGCCCGTTATATCGGCACCGTCGGCGATTCGGTTATGACGGGGGACTTCCGGAGAGGCAATTCGCTCTTTTCGTTTCTGGCTAAGTGCGTACGTCCGTTGCGTAAGCTTTCATTGTTTCGCGCCGCCACGACCGCGCCGACGAAGAGAAAGAAAAACACATGCACGAATCGCTGCCGCTGCGCAGATCATCGTGATCATTTTCGCGATTATAATCGTAGTCAGGCGCACCAAGACACTGATTCTATTCGCTTATCAACCTTTTCCTTTTCGTACGTCCACTGTGTCTCGGTCGCGATCGTTGCTTCGTGCTCTCGCGCATTCGCTTTTGCCCTGTGCGTCTCATTAACGAGACAGAAAGGGAGAAACGTATTCTCGGCGGAACCAACGTGACCAGACACATTGTATCCGATTGATTTGCATGCTTCGGGGATATTCTGATCGTGATGATGATCCTTCCAGAGTGTTGCGAAGATTTTTGCATTCCGACATGCCCGGTTCACCTGTACCCGCGCCGTTCACCAGGAAGAAATTTATAGCCCATTGCCAACAATTGGTCGACAATCCTGGGAAACTCAGCAATGAATTTCGGCTGCTGCAGACCCTCAGTGTCGATTTGCAGATGCCGACGAACACCGCCTGCTTGCAGGCCAATCGGAAGAAGAATCGTTACTCCGATATTTTGCCCTGTACGAAATCAGTCCCGCTGTTTTGCTTCTTCTCTCGCGCGCGACTTGCGTCGAAATGTTATTTATTACGTGTGATTCTCGCTTTTTTAGATGACTTCTCAAGAGTCAAGCTGGACGTGATAGACAATGATCCTAATACTGATTACATCAACGCATCATTTATAAAAGTAGGTATTCTACTCGGTGTCCGATAATATTTATATCGGTGCACGAGCTAACATCTTTTTCGTTGATAAGCGAAGCGAGATTTTTCCGTAATAAGAGAACATTGCCGGATGTTAAGAATTATTGAGCTACGACAGGCTGAAAAAAGAGAAAGCACTTTTTTTTTTTTTTGATGATTTATGCTTCCACAATTCAGAGAGATAACGACTAGATAAATGAAGTGGTTTTTCGGGGATAAGGATATCGTCGGATGTAAATAATTATCGAACTGTGATACGTCGAGGAAGAAGAGCATCTTTAGTAATTTATGCTTTCACAATGCAGAGAGATAACGACTAGATAAAATTGAATCGTCGTTAACGGAATCAGATCTGAGATATATTCGTTCATTTATTAAAAGAAGAGATATTTATTTTAAAGTCTGAAATAAAATGATCTCGATTTTCAAGAAAGAACATTGCCCTGTTAGCTCAACGAGCTCGGAACTTATCAGAGAACATAAGCATAAGCATGATTTGGCAGATAAGAAAAATCGATTTTCCACAAAATACGTCACCGTGTGTGTTTCAGGGATACACAGGAGAAGATGAATACATAGCTTGCCAAGGGCCGAAAGAGGAAACCACTTATGATTTTTGGAGGATGGTCGATCAATACAACATCAACATTATAGTTATGTTGACCCAGTTGGTCGAGAAAGGCAAAGTAAGCCCTGCTTTTCGGTACGATTCACGCCATTCGCATACCATTTTGCGCATTGGTTTTCTCTTTTTTTTTTTTCAGGAGAAATGTCATCAGTATTATCCGACGATCAGGGAAACCTTTCGATACGAGAACATGACGATACGTTGCACGAGTGAATTAGATTATAGAACATACACCCAAAGAACACTTGTACTACAAAAGGTTTGTGATAAAAAGAAACAGTTTGCACGCATAGAGAAAAATAATCACGTGTTTGTATATCAATGATAATAATTACAGGAGAATAAAAAAAGAAGTATCATTCAATTGCATTTCAAAGACTGGCCCGATCACGACGTTCCCGAGGACTTCGACCCGATGATCAATTTTTGCCAGATAATGCGTCGCAATATTAGCACAAGTAAAGGTTTCGTCGTCGTTCATTGCAGGTACGAATAAATATGATTAAGCCGCAAAACAAGTACTTAAACTTATAACTTCCACGGTTATAATAACTTTTCAATGACGGGGAACGTTATTCTTGTTTTTACAGTGCAGGAATTGGCAGGACAGGGACGTTAATATCAATAGATATTCTTCTACAGCATCTCAGAGATAATAAAAAATTAGACGTTTTCGGGATTGTGTATAGATTACGGTATCATAGAATAAATATGGTGCAGAGAGAAGTAAATAACAAACATATCTATGTCGGCATTTGTATAAATTTATATATATATATATATATATGATGTATAAAATAATATAAATTTTTGTATTTTTAGAGCCAATACGCTTATATATATAATTGTATCAAGCAAGTACTCAAGAATCCTTATTTCTTGAAAACTTGTAAGTAACTTGTACATTATGTTTAGCAATTTTCTTATTTTGGAAACAGGGACCCGTAATTGTAAATGTGACAAACGCATTCTTACAGATAAGCCGCCCCCGGTTGATCCAGTCTACGAAAATATCTCGAGGAATGCCAGAGACACGGCGAATACAGATGCGAATCTAGTCAACGGTCTTGAAATGCGTATGTAATATATACGTATCCTATTCGACGTTCTCTTAAACAATTCTTACTCTTATGGTATTATTAATGGTACTGAGAAAAGCACGGTAGAAATAACATTAATTTATTTTGTACTACAGAATGAGAGTCTCCGACTATAATTTAACACGTGATGAGGTAGGAAGAAATGCTTGGATCTTGTGTTCTGTTTCCGGTTTGCTGTACTCTCTTGTCGCTTTTTTGCTCTTGCCTTATTCAATCTATTCGTTATTTTTTTCTAATAATGTGTTGCGGGCACAAACACATACTCACACGCTATCTTTCATTGTTTCTCTCTGCACATGCTTGATGAATAAATTTTCTTTTTTGGTAGATACATCTGCTTTGGACGTTTATTTCGTTGTGAATAAGACGTGGTTATGCAATATAGAACGAACATACATTCTTAAGATATGATTTTGCATTGAAAAATTCACATAAATTTCATCACAATTTAATAAAATCTATAATAGGATATTTTTTGAAAATTATCTAACCTCATTGCAACGACTCACTTATGACGACATCCCATTTTAGGAATTCTGTTTAGACATGAATTTAACGATATCATATTCGTAACATATATCAAAATTCTCAGGAAAGCAATTGGGTCTGATCTAAAAAACAATTTCATAAAAAAAAATTGGAGAAATGAACTAATGCTACGCTAAAATATCAAATGTGTTATAGTGTCCGTCCTGAAAGCTGGTAGCCAAAATATTTGCTATTCACAGTCGGTTATATAATATTGCATAACTACGCACAATTACTGTGTTTCTTAATCTACTACATAATTATGTATGTTGTTTCAGTAAAAAGATATAATAGGTCTGTATCTACGGAGTCTCTGGAAACAATCCATAATCTCTTTCCCTCGTCAAATGCAGAACACCAAAAAAGCGCGATAAATAATGGTAAGAGTGAAACGCAATCTCACGAAAGTAAATTATTATACGTTGTTTGACGAAAATATTAGATAGTTCGAAGCGGAGAAACTATTTTGTTCAACACATAATCCACTAGTTGCGTTCGGTAAAACGAGTCTCTTAGTATTCGACCTAATGTCTTGGGGACTCGATTGGTGTATACGTTTAGTCGAAATAGCAAAAAGTGCTGAACACAATCATTGTAAACGGGTCTATTTGTACCATGTGACAAATTCCATTCTATGTAATTCTGCTTTAAGGTTTGAGGAAATACAAATCAATGGATGCTATAGATGTAAACATTCGTCACAACATTAGAGGTGAGTGAAGATCTATCAAAACAACTATATCTTGAAGAGTTACGCTGACAAATTTTTTTCTTTTTTTCAGGAAAAGCCCGAACTTTGGAAAACATTATTTGTAAATCACTGGGATTGAAGGATTCAATGTACAAACTAAGCAGTCAAAGTTTAGCACAAGAGAGTTTACCGTTGATAACTTATTCAAACGGCTTAGCTGATGCATTCGGCGACAGCTCGCAATATGCAACAGACAGTGAGTTCCACAATTCTCTTTGTCGGAACATACCGTTTGCATCCTGCTTTTCACATAACTATAAAGACTTATGAAACTGATGTTCTTTCTTTTTTACAGATTTGTGAAAGAGACGATTGGATTATACAATTTCCACGTGTTAGAGAATAGACATAGATCTAGAAAATATGTAATTATATGTAAATATGAATTCTTATAGAATCCAGGAACTCTTAGGATAAGGATCGATAAGTTCAGTTTAAACACATGCATGTTTCTTTGTATAAATAATCAATTCTGCGCGAGCATTCCCATGTATGAGCGTATATGACACTAGAGTGTATTATGTGATATTGATAAGAATAACACTTACATCAGCGCTGTATTTGTACACGTAAATTAAATAAGATATTGTGAAATATATAATAAGAATCATATATATATATACTTATATATGTATATAATTCATGCATTTATCACATTTTCGTATTTATAAAGACAGTATTAATTGAACATGGTTTAGTCAACTGAATTCATTGGATTCATTCAACACTTCACAGGTTTTAATGTAAAACAAAAATATAGCATGAATATTTTCCTAATATTAAAGTTGGATAATATTTTCTAAATGAATTAATATCGATATTTAGTTGAATAATCTTTAGGTGATACAACCAAACCTCGACCTTTTCTCGCACCTCTGTAAACCGTCTCAATGATGTCAATCATTTCCTGCTTGTCCTCCAATGTCCAGTTGATTTTGTTATTATTGCCTGTGCCTAAATCAATCATTATATGCTTGTTCCTGAAGAAGAACATCACTGTGCATGGGTCGTATAATTCATACCTAAAAAATATATACTATTATTTTAATAGTATTATTACAAAAAGTTAATAAGATATATGGAATTTCAATTACTAGTATAAAAAAAATATTGTAAATGAACCAAGCTTCAAAACTAATTAGTTAACTTAATCTTTCACTTAATTTTCTGTTATTTACTTTCCTAAGAATGATCTATTCTCCTAATAAATTATCTAATTTGTTAGATAAAATGCTGAAATAATATAGACTTTAATGTGCATGCAAGTATAAATATCTACTTACATTTTGTTAAAATCTGGTACTTTTGTGATATCAACCAAATAAATAACGGCGAAATTTTTAACTTTTTCCGCGATATTGTAGAGAACTTCGTCCATCTTCATGCACATTGGATCCCAATCGTGGCCAAAGCGAATAACCTGAAATGTTACGTGTAAAAGATTATCTTGATATATATTATTAAAAAATGACTATAAAATTAGAGGTTAAGTACAAACATTCGAGAACTTACCACTACTCTGTCTTCTTCCGACAAAATAGCTTGATCGACTTGAAAGCCGTTTTCCAAATGCGACAGCATATAAGACATTTTGTAATGTATAAAATTTGTAATGTATAAAAACACGCGTTAAAAATTACACGATATATTCTCGTTGTAACAAAACAGTGTCAACTAGTAATAACGTTTATTCAAATTTATAGCAGTCTATCCAAAGGTTTGTTCGTTTTCGCCGCACCGCTGAACTAGTGCGATAAGTTGAAATGAGAAAACATATACTTGTCTCGCTTCAACTTATTGAACTAGTTCAGCGGTGCAGCGAAAACGAACAGACCTCAAGTTATTGGATCGTGCTACTGAAGACAAAAGATCTGTCGCTGAGTACTTGAAAGTCAAGAGCCACTTGATTTGTTGATAAATCTTGCTTGAAAATAAAAAGTTATCTGATTTATTGTAGTCGTATAATTATAAATAAAAGGTTGCTCAGTCTCATCATTGAGTCATCGTTGAGTCTAACTCATTACGATCTCAATTTATTTACTCGGACGGTGGCGGCTCGTAGCGAAGAGTTTGAAACTAAAAAAAATAACGGGTCTAGAAGTTGCAACGGGTCAAAGTGCAATAAATTGCATTCAACCAATCACGAAATAAAGAAATCGTTGTTCTTTCTATTTTGATTAATCAATTAAATATTATTCTACCCGTCGAGTAGGGTTTCAGAACGCACTCAATGACGATAATTACTCAATGGTTACACAACCTTTATGTTTTCTGAACGTAGCCATAGTTGTTTAATTTTAGTTCAAAAGTCTCCGCTACGAGCCGCCACCATTCGCAGGTCATATGAAGTCGTAGTACGACTCAATGACAAGTCGGACATTCATTTTAATCTCAGATTTTACAATTTAACAGCAAGACCTTTTTATTTGTAAATAGTCCAACTCAATGACGGATCAAATGATCTTTTTATTTCAAGTTTCATGATTCAATGATAAATCGAAAGATCTTATTAACCAGCGACATAATTTAGCTCGGATCTATAATAGGTGTAGTAAGCTTTAAGCCGTAAGAAATTGACCAATCACAATTGATTGCTTTTCTATAACTAGAATGTGATTGGTCAATTCCTTACGGCTTAAAGCTTACCACTTACTTATGTATCGGTCCGCAATAGGTATTTTAAACCTTAAGCTTTAAGCAATTGACCAATCACAGTTGAATATGAAGAGAATAATTCACTGTGATTGGTCAATTTCTTAAGGCTTAAAACACCTATTGTGGACCGACGCTATTGTAGATCCGGATTTAACGACTAATCAAATAAACTGTCAACTTGAAACGTTTGGCAACGCTGTGCACGAGCGGGAATGGCGGATTTGACTCATACGATTGCCGCTATGATAGGCATTTCGTCTGTAGCAGTCGAAGGAAGAGGAGGAGAAGGAGGAAAACACTTTACGGGCCGCGTGCAACAGTGACGACGTGCGTCGAACGTGGGCGAATGTTGAGCTTCCTCAGCGTACGGAGAAGATGCGCGTGTCAGGAGACCGCGGGGAAATGAGTAACGACGAGTCGGCCGGAACGTGGGTCATGAATCGTACAAAATGAGGAGAACGTGTAATGCCCCGGTGGAGGCCCGGACAGCGGACAACCTCGAAGCCACAAGACGTTTGCATAGGTAACAGCACTGCAATAATCACCCTTTCTTGGAATCCCGCGGAGATGCTACTTCTAATTTCATATTGTACCGCGAAAAGCGATCTTCTTTCGATAACTTCGTCGGCGAGGACAAAGTACCTTCGCGGCGAGAACGTGAACCTAACCGCTTCATCCATCCTCTTATCACCATGTTTAGTTTCCGCTCTTATTATTCGCACTTGTTTTGTTGAGTCTCGTGGAACTTGTTGAACACAATTGATCGGCTCAACTTGAGAAGCGTTCAATCGATACGTTTTCCCGATATTGCATAATAGTAGACATGTTTGCTATAAAAAAAAAAAAAAAAATTACGACCGAGCACGCTACGTATTACTGACGATGACCTTCGTTTAATGCGAACACATGCTCCCCCTTTAGACACTTGTCTATTTTATTTGCAAGGAGTGTGACTGAGATCGCCAAGAGATTGGAAGAACAGAAAAATCGTGCTCTAACAGTATGCGATATATTTATCCCATCTGTGGAGGTTCTACGTGTGAAGTTGAAGGATTACTGCGAGAGATTGATACTGAAAGACCCCGTTGGGAATGCGCGCAAAACGGAGGAGTTGCTGTGGAGGAAGGCGTTTTACGATGTTGTTTATGCAGCTAAAAAATTGCGCAAGGTAACGGATTAATTGGATGAACTATAAAGTTTAACAACAATGTTATGATAGTAGTGAGAGCATTGCAGCACAGTATCATTTTGGGAAAGATTTTATTTTTACTTTAATGTTACATCTTACATTATAGGGTAACCAGTGGAATGAATCGGAGAAAGCATTGCTGTCGGTACATCTGGCAGTGGGCGTGGGATATTACCATCATCTGATATTGAGACTGCAATCCGAATATGATCTGGACCTTGTCGGTATCATTGACTTTGCTTTCACTCGTTTCGAAAGCATTTCGTCATACGTAAGTATGACCCCGTATCTCTACCCTGTATGTATTTTTTTCTTTTTTTTCAATACATCTGTCAGAATATGAATCTACTAAATGGAAAACTTAGGTTATATGTAAATTGATTATGTGCAAATCCAGGCAAGATTTAAGATGTTGCAAGCTAAGCCAACTTACACCAAAGAGGTCAAACAATGGGTCATGCGCTTGATCCATCGAAGTCTGGTGTGCCTTGGAGACCTGACCAGGTACAAATTAGAATTAGATTCAGACTGGGATCCAATGATAGCCAACAGATATTACAAAATGGCTATAGCCATCGACCCGAACATCGGAATGCCTCATAATCAACTTGGTACTATCGCGGGCAGCAAAAACTACGGTCTGGATGCCGTCTACCATTACATGAGATGGTAGGTATCAGTAGTAAACATATTGACTGTATTGATACTATTAATAGCAAGTTTATCTCGCGAGAAACGTCAGTATATTGACAAACGTATCGCTACAATCATTATCGCTTTGTAGCTCCTTGTGTCCCGAGCCGTTTGAAGGAGCTGAGGGAAATTTAAAGAGGACTATAATAACCAATTCCACCTGTACGGACGAGAACAATCTGGCCCATCATTGTGTATCGCGATTATTTTCTCTGTTGCATTTGTGGGATTACGACAATCCGAATTCGGACAAGATTAATCAAGAATGTCAGGTGCGCAAATGACACGAATTTGATTATAACCGCAACAATTTGTAATTCTACAAAGTCTTAATTGGTAACGATCGATTTCTCCTTGGCAGGATCTCTTGACTGACATCGAGAATTGTTTGTCGATGGAGCAATCTGAGGCGCAAAACCCGAGTTCTCTTGAAAACGCGGATAACATAGAGATATATCTACAAAATTGCAAGAGCAAACCAACGTTATACCTAACGGACGACATGGTATTTAAGATCGTGACAATATGTTTAATGTCAATTTCTAGATTAAAGAGCAGAGAGTCGAGCGAGGTACAGGGTGTCGTTGCTATTACTCTAGCGATACTGTCGCAACTGCTGCAATTTACAATAACGAAACTGCAAGAATTGGTCGTAGAAACGGCAGTGCCGGACGTTGAGTTCGCTAACGCAAATTCTTACTCCTCGAAGCTCAAAAACGCGTTGAAGAAAGAGACAGAGAACAACGGAGATCACATGCCGGGCGAGAACTCCGCCTCGAACCAAGACAATAATATATCGAATTTAATAAAGCAGAGCGAGCGCGCTATCGAGAAAGCGAAATCGCCGGACAACAACGGAGTCGCGAACAACGAGGCGCCCAAGAAGACTCGCGACAAGTCCAAGAATCTCCTGAGCAAACTGCGCAGGCGAAAGAGACGAACGAGTTCCGATTCGGACGTGAGCGATACGGAGCAGCCGGTGCTGGCGTCGTCCAGCGACGAGATGCACTCCGAGACGGAGGAGGATGACGCTCTGTCGGAGGACGCTCTTTCGGACGACAATACGGACGACGAGGAGCTGTTGTCCGGCGAAAAGGTGTCGAAGGAGGGCATGAAGAACGGCCACGTTGCTGCCGATTGTAAAACGGAGAACAACGATCAGCTGGTCAACGGCGAGAAGGCGGACGAGCAAGCGGACTCGAGAGCTGTCAGCGAGCTGGATTCCGTGACGAATTCAGCCGGTAGCGCCGTAACCATCACGACGAACGCCGATTCCACCAGCGGCACCTTCGAAGATAGCAGCATCGCCTACGTGGCGCAGTCGAAGAAGCAGAGCCTGAAGCCGCACGATATCCTGAATCTGATGCTCGGCAAAGAGATCCTCGCGTCCATCAAAGTGTGCTTCGACTGGCTGCGGAGCAACCCCGACATCGTGAGGATATGCGCCAAGAGCTCGCGGACGTTGCTGAAGCGCGTGACGATCCTGCTGAATCTGATCAACGTGGACGGCGAGGCGTTCGTGCGCAAGAACGAGGACTCGGCGATCCTGTCGAGCGCGGAGAGGCTGCGGGAGTGCGCGAAGACGGTGCCGTTGCCGGAGGACAGCGATCTCAAGGGTCTGACTTTGCTGGAGGAGGCGCATCGGTCCCTCGACTGGTGCGTACTGCACAAACACAAAATGAGTAAGAGAGAGGAGACGTTGCTGAGGATGTTGAAGCTGCTCGAGTTCGGGCATCACCTGAGCGCCGTCGAGGAGTCGGGCGTGCGATACGACCTCGTCGCACGACTGTTCGTCGCGAGCGACCACAGCCCGTCGAACGCCCCGAAGCCGGTGGGTTTCGACGAGAAGAACTTCAGCATGGAACATCCGAGAGGCAAGCTCATGAGGCACATGGGTAAGCTCTGGCTGAAGGCGGAAGTGCGTGCTCTGGAAAGCCGCTTGCACTTCCGGCTGATGTCACCGTACCTGGTGCCTGACCACGAAGCTTTGGCCAAGCACACGCCGACCCTGAAGCGCCTGGTGTACGCGAAGAAATTCGTAGTGGTGATCCCCGCGGCTGGTGAGTGGAAGATAACGTTGAAACTCGAGATACGAGATATCGTTTCCTTTGTATCACGACGAAAAGAATACCGCACGGTAATGATTTACATTCAAGATTACCACGTCACCCATCCATCCGGGATGTGGCGATAACCTTGTCCACCTGGAGTGTTGCCGCTACTTCTATAGATACGAAAGCATTTTAATTGCAAAAGTTGTACAGTAGAGAGTCATGATATGCCAGCAATAATTTTTTTGCGGATGGAAACGCTTCAGAGATTTCAAGGTCACCTCCACTTCTTTTCTCAATAGCAAGTCATACTTTTTTTATCCTTAACGCACTGGCGGATTACAATGCGGGGTCATTAAATAAAGGATTAAAACAATGATTCTTGACGTCATGAGAGGTGCTCGAAGCGATATCTGTTTACATCGCAACATTGCAATCGTCAAGTTCACGAAGCACGTACATTTCTTATCATTTCCGGACCGATTACAGAGTACGTGCTTCAGGAAGTCACCCATTTTGAATCGGCGACGATTTTAATTACTGAAACAGGAATAATTTTATGAACCATTTATAAAGATATAGAGTGATAATAAAATATCATTTATACACAATGCATGCTAATATATAATAAAAATATAAACAAATTAATATTATATATCTATTATGGAATGATCGAACTTATATATTTTTTCCGTGAGATTCTGGAAAGTAGTCCATAATCGTGGTTGTTATTATATTGGTTTCTCAAGAATATTTACATTAGATAATATATGAGATATCGAAGGATGGAAGTAGATACCACATCATCCTTTCATTGGACACATTGTTTGTTTTGTATTCCGACTATACGTACAGTTATGCGCGTGTTACGACTTTGGGCTCTATGGGCTTCGAAACTAACTGGGCAGTCCATGTATTAATGATTGTGATAATTGTTTTGCATATCTACGCGAGCCAATATAACGCAAGTTACATCATCTTATAGTTGTCTCAGCGTTGGACGAAGTGAAACGCACCAGCGGGCAAGCAAGAGAGGCGACGCGATGGCTGGAGACTCAGTTGAGACGTGGATCGAGATTCTTACGGGCGCAGAGACCTCACGAGCATCTGGCGCTGCCACTGATCAAAGGACCAAGACCAAAAGATAAGGAGGCCTGGTTGTTCTTTCAAATCATAGAGTGTTGCCATTTCCTCACCCAGCAGGCGAAGGTCGGTTTCACCGGCGACGGGGAGGCGCCGGTCGTGACTCTCTTGACCGGATGCAATCCGGACGAGAGGAAGGCTCTGACTTTTAGTCCCGACGGATTAGCGAAAAGTGCAGGTGATTGTTCTCTTTGTTTCTACATCGTTCTTGCTTTATCTATTATCAAACGTTAATGTGAAACACTATTAACGTTGACGTTGATGATTTCGCGGTTTATTATCGTGTAACGGTAAAAATGTGAACAGAAGCAAGTCGGCCGACGTAACGCATATTGCAAGCCAGCGTTAAATGAACATTGTTCGATTAATTTTCGTCCCGTAGGTGTTAATCTCGAGCACATCGAATCGTTTCAAACCAAGTGGAAGTCGTCGAGCAAGAGCCACGGTTGAGCCACGTCCCCGCTCCTTGCGTGATCATTCACTGTTGTTCTCACCTCGGAGGGAAAATCGACGACGACTCAAAGCGAAGTCGTATGGGAGCGTGTCCGACCGGACACACCCGGATTCGATCGGGCGATCGACGACAAAGAGAAAGAGAGAGAGAGAGAAAGAGGAGGGGTTGGAAACCCACGCGCATGAAAACAGAAAATCAATCGATCGAGTTGTGCACGACGGCGAGTTGTTCGGTGACGAAATCTGTGCCGATGTCCGAATGTCCTTTCCCGCAGCGCATACAGAAGAGTTTTAAGTAACGAAACGACATTTTTCCTCTCTTTCTAACTATTCATATTGCCATTTATGTTTGAAAGAATTGTATTTTTAAGTAAACGGTTTTTTAAATAACCACACCGATGTGTTCTCACCAGTCACGTCAAAATCCCGGCGGAGCCGAGCGAGCGATCGTGCTGAAAGAAAAAAAAAAATAGAACGCACGATTCGAATGACTACGTTATCTCGTCTACGTCGTCGAGACGATCAAATGTATTCAAAAACGGTCTAAAGGTTGAGAAACACTTATCGCTTGATATGTATTAATTATGTAGACGCGAGAAAAATATTAAGTATAATTATTCTGATATTTGATCGCGACTTCCTCTTACGTGCTTATGTGTTGGAAAATTAAATCTTACGTTACTGCGCGTGCAAAAGCATGTAAACAAAGGAAGACGCATTTGGTTTGTTTTTCTCATCTGAACTGACCGCACTGATTTAAGAAATTTACACACTGAAGCGTGAGAATCTTGTATGTACGCTTCATACGTTTCAATCTGTATGTACATTTCTCGAAGTGAAGTGCAGCCAATTCAGGTAAGAAAAGCAAACCAATTATTATACAAAATATTCCAAGTCGACCGAGGGGAGCGTTAACGTCGAAATTTTCGATTTGTAACACCCGGACGCCGATACGCCGAGTTCTTCGGTTTGTCACGCAAAAATAGAAAATTTCTGGCCGCGTGGATAGATCCCGCTCTAAATTCGTCCGGAGGAATTCATGACTAAGGTATCCATTAATTTCTCAGCACCTTATTTTCCGGACTATGCCCGGTCGCGCGTTCGTCCATACGTGGGTGTCGCGTATCGGCGGCGGGCACGTACGTACGTGTGTGTGTGTGCGCGCGACATTATTCCGGCGGAAGCGAACGCGCACGCGCGACAGTGCTTTTGCGTTGCGGTAGTGGCAGCGTGACATAACCTAGCGGCAGTTAGTCGTCGTGTTTGCCTGTGTGTCGTCGTTGGTTTACGTGTCGACGGAGGAACGGTCGTGGTTCCCGCATCGCGCTCCTGCAATCGGTCCGGTAGTCCGCGGCAAGCGTGAATAAATATCACGCGATCTCTCGCGGCGCAGTTATCGTGATGGCCGAGCCTGAAACGTCGAGCAGCGTGCATGTTGGTCACCGTCATACGTCCGCCGCACAGTCTCTCTAGTTCCGCGAGCCGAGGCCCTTGGTGAAGGAGAGTCTAACGTAGTGCTGCATTCGAACGTTCGAATTGTGCGAGGGAGTGCCGCCGTCGGTAGTACCGCGACTGTGTCGTAGTTTTTACACGATAACACGCAATACCGCGGTCGAGTGCGACCACGGTGAATAAGAAAAGGAGAGGCGGCGAGAAAGAGAACGAGAAAGAGAGAGAGAGGGGGGAGGTAGAGACAGAGAGAGAGAGAGAGAGAAAGAGACAGCGAGTGAGCGAGCGAGCGTGCGAGGATCGCGCGAGCGTCGAAAGTAACGAGTCATCTACCGATCCAAGATGGCAGAACGCCAAGAGGGTGGTCCGAAGAAGATCACCATCAACGTGAAGACGCCGAAGGAGAAGCAGACCGTTGAGATCGAGGAAGACGCGACGATAAAGGACGTGAGTATAATAACGATGACAACGAGCGGCGTTGTCTTTACCGGCGCCGTTCGCTACTCCGTATCGTCGCTACGTTTGGCGCATCGCCAACCGTCAGCTGTCAAACGAAAACGCGTCAGTTCGGCCTTTCTAATTTATTTGTTTTCCTTCCTCCCCCGTCCCGGCGCGCCGGCAGTTTAAGGAGGTGGTCTCGAAGAAGTTCAATGCTCAGGCCGATCAGCTGTGCCTGATATTTGCCGGTAAAATTATGAAGGATCACGAGACACTCAGCACGCACAACATCAAGGACGGCCTGGCTGTGCATCTGGTGATCAAGGCGCCGCGCTCCGCTGCCACGTCCAATCAGGAGTCCACTTCAACTTCGAGACCCCAAGGTATGAGTGAAATGTTTAATGTTAATGTTCAATATTGTGAAATTTAGATATTGTTCTGAACGCTTAGGGTTGTGGCAGAATCGCCAAATTACGATACATATTAAATGAGTCTGCCCACAAGTATTTGGAAATCTTGGCAAATACAAATATAAAAACGGGCTCTATAGGATTGATATATGCTAATGAAATCCTAATATAACTGATAACGAAGCATTGTACAATTTTATTGGCATATATAAAAATCTTAAATTTGAATTTTGATATTTTTTTTATTACAAAAAAAAATTCCTTAAATTTGTATATTTGTACCGATCCAACAGTGAATCAAATAATTCGCTGTTAAAGATGGCTCATGCAAAACAAAATTTGTATACAATTTGTGACCACAAGACCCACCCAAGTGTATCAGTACTGTTACCTGCTTCATAAAAATATATACCTTGACCTCTTGCACTTTAGTTAATTAGCATTCTTATTGATGCTTTTAAATCACCACTGTGTTGCATATTTTCATTCTCCTCAAATTTGCATTTTACAAGCATATGTACTTCTCCATATCCGATGGATAAGCATTTACAATGATATTATGGATACTCACCTGCAAATGTTTATTAATTGCAGCTGACGTAAACGCCAGTCCATTTGGCCTGGGTAGCTTAGGTGGATTGATGGGATTGGAGTATCTTGGCTTGGGATCCGCTAATTTCATAGATTTGCAGCAACGGATGCAACGAGAATTGTTATCGAATCCGGAAACGATGCGCCAAGTACTCGACAATCCACTGGTGCAGAATTTAATGAACGATCCGGAAAACATGCGTAATTTGGTCACCGCCAATCCCCAGATGCAGGAGTTGATGCAACGAAATCCTGAAATCAGTCATATGCTGAACAACCCTGAGCTGTTACGGTAATTATCGATACGCCACTGAATCGAAATCGAAATCCAGTTATAAGTAGAGCTAATCTAAATACAATAGTCGAGTCGCGTCTTACGCTTATCCGTTCGCATTTTCGCTCGATATTTTCCTTGTCTCTCCGCTTGCCGTCGTGTTCTACTATCTTAATCGGTTCGTTCCGCTCGATATTGTGCAACATTACATTTTCTTTTCAGTCAAACAATGGAGCTGGCGCGTAATCCGTCGATGCTGCAGGAACTAATGCGGACGCACGATCGAGCTCTGTCCAATTTGGAGAGCATACCGGGCGGTTACAGCGCACTGCGCCGCATGTATCGCGATATCCAGGAACCGATGTTGGCGGCCGCGACGAACGGTCGCAATCCCTTCTCCGCTCTGGTGGAGAACAGCAACTCGTCCAACCAGGACACACAGAATCCGCAGCAGGGCCAAGAGAACCGGGACCCTCTGCCGAATCCGTGGAATCCGAGTCAGGGTGACTCCAACAGCAGCGCAGGTCAACCGAGTCAGGGTAGAGGCTTGCTGGATTCACCGGGCATGCAGAGCCTCACCGCCCAGATGATGGAGAATCCACAGCTGATGCGCAACATGTTGAACGCTCCCTATACACGATCCATGCTGGAGGCGATGGCAGCCGATCCGGCGATGGCGAACCGTGTGATCGCTGCGAGTCCGTTCCTGCGTGGCAATCCGCAGATGCAGGAACAGATGCGTGCCATGATGCCCGCTTTCATACAACAGATGCAGAATCCTCAGATACAGAGTGTCGTTACCAATCCGGACGCACTGGCCGCCATTATGCAGATACAGCAGGGTATGGAGCAGCTACGCACCGTCGCCCCTGATCTCGTGGAAAAGTAAATTCTCTCGTTCTCATTACGTCGAGCGATTTGCCGAATTTCACGCGACTAAATATGCGCGTGTTTCAGCATGGGCCTGACGGTCCCGCCGCCCGTGGCCACGACGCCCAACACCGCCGGCAGCACGAGCCCCAGTGTGCCGACCAGCCAACCGTCGGACACCAACCAGCAGGACGCGTTCTCCCAATTCATGGCGCGTATGGTAAGAATCTCTCGTCTGATCTCGAGAAATCTGTACAATCTAATTGCATAACGGTATCTCACAGTGGTGCAGAGCTTGAATTGCAATCGCCTAAAATACATATAAGTAGGCTAGGAGAGTCCTTAAAGTCCCCCGAAGAAAATTCCCTTTGGAATTTAAAAGTCCTAGAACGTTGAGTACTTTATCGATATTCTTGGCGTAACGTCGGACGGACTTGTATACCAAATCATATTTTATTTATGTTACGCTAGGTCTCCGCGATGGCATTAAATCAAGGTGTAGAAGTCGACGGCCAACCTGTACCTCCACCAGAGGAGCGTTATAGAGCACAGCTAGAGCAACTTACGGCTATGGGTTTTCTTAATAGAGATGCTAATTTACAAGGTTAGAGCTTCGATATTCCTTTTTGTTTCTCTTCGCACTACTACACGATGTTTGCAAATATATTTCGGTTTCTAAATGTCTCTTCTTCTTGCCTTTCAGCGTTAATCGCCACATTCGGAGACATAAATGCCGCCGTTGAGAGACTACTCTCCAATGGGCAAGTGTCTATGAGCTAACCACCAATCAGCAATACCGTTATTCCATTATTATCTTTAATTTTCTCCTTATTTACCTCGTACGACAGACGCGGTGAGAGATATCTGAGGTAACTGGCTGTCGCGCGCGCGCGCGCGCGCGGAGAAGAAAAAAAGAATTACGAAAATTATACCCCCCTCGTTCTACCCGTTTCTCAGTCTTGACGCAATACGCTACCGACCACGTTCAAAATTCGCATCTTCTTTTTGCATTTGAATTTCCGATTTGTCTGTGTTTTAGACGTTAGGGAAATACGGCGTAGATATTGAACTACGTTCCGATATTGTTCACTTCTTCGAATCTCGGTTCGTCTGTCCCGTATTCTATTCGATGTGCTCTAAAGCTAAGTAGCTCTGTTGATGTCAATTTTCTGTGTAAATTTCTTTATAAAGCAGCCCCGCGATAGTCGCTGCGACACGATCATGTTCACGACAGTTCTTTACGGCGTATGTCCTTGTAATCTTTCTTATAGAAACACAAACGGAAACCTGCATGGAAAATCTAGATTGCCGCTATTAAAGGAGCTCGCTTCTCGGCTTCGTCGGCCGATCGAAAGTCATTCGCAGTGCTCGGTCATTCTTTTGCTTTCGACTGTCCCGATATATTTGTATGTAGCCGTTCGTAGCGAGATATGTTGTTTGTATACGTTCCGAATAAACAAAGAGAAAACAGCAGGGGATGAGTGTAATGCTTCGGCACGGATTTCTCGATCGTTTCCTCATGTGTAAACGAGAACTTTGGAAGTATATATATATATGTGTGTTGGATATATATATTAGCGAGATTTGTGCGTATACTCAGAGGGCATGACTCGACGATCCGTACCATAATACGTTTTCCATGTGAGTTTTATAGATACCAAACGTATGAGGCGACAACTGCTTTCTTTGAATTGCATATTAGCGTGCACCGTCTCTTTGTTCGTTTAATTTGATCGTAGCGTAAAACTATTATTATTAAGCGTTATACATATATATAAATAAATATATATATGTATATATATATATATATATATATATATGTCTTGTAATACAAATCTAGAAATTTGTAGCGTGATCATTGAGAAACATACGGCATAGATTGTTTATAGAGGAATGCGCGCGTGGTATGGATCGACTTGACGCGCGGAAGTGCGTGAACTCAAAGGAACACCTAATTGTCGGTTAGCTCTAAAGCGTAAAGATAAAAGGAAAAAAAAGAAGATGTATGTTGTAAATTATCTTTTTTCGGAGGGAAGCAGCTATGATTTTAATATTTTTGATTGATGTACGATTACATAAGTATCCATGCGCATTATATTATCTTTTATGTATATTCAGTATACTTCACTGGATGAGACATTCTGCTGTAAAAGCGATTATATTACAAAATAAAGTTACGGTTGATTCATATCCATCGATCGACTACCGTCAAACGGATCTTTCAGCATATCGGCGCGAACTTTACTTTGGATCGCTTTCTCTGCGATTATAACCTGAGTAACAAGATGATGTTAAATGACGTTTTAATGACATTTTATCTGACGTTAAAGACGTTGTTATCAAGTTAACAAAACGTCATTTGACATTATCTTGCTGCTTGGGAATTTATTGAATACACAATCGTAGATTTGCAATCAACACGTCGAGTGCCACGCCGATTTACATTGATCGTACAAACGTCTAACTGATGATTCAATCTCGCCGAAGCTGCGGTATATAAATCAATATAATTCCTACTTTGTTTCATTGGCTCTCTACTGGCCTATTTTGTGGATGCAATTAATTATATTTTATACGCAACTTAACGCGGTAACATCACAGTACCGATGACACCTCACGGCACTCGACGTCTGAAAAAAATCATTTCAATAAAAGTTCGGGAAAGGGACCGAGAAAATATATTCGGATCTCTGTCAAAGTACGATATAAAGCACACAGTATTAACTTGACCATTTTGCACACTAATTTCACATCGTGCTTACTTTTCTCAAACCAACGTTCTCTTCCGCCGAGAGAGTGATTCGGGGTTAACGCGTGAGACGATAACTTCGGAGGAGCGATTACGAATAATTTCTCGACAATTGATTTCACACGAAGCTTTTACTCCGTAAGTCCGTCGATACTTTGGAATTCCGCGGATACGCGACTATAGCGCGGTTCGCCCGGCGGCCCCCACCGTCGAGCCGGGCCAGTCAGTCAGTCAGTTCGTATCGGTCGCTCGGCCGGTTCGGTTCGTGAGCGCGCGTGCACAGCGGTACGGTGCGATAAACGCCGGGTCTCGAGGCGCAGCAGCTGCCGCTCGGTGTCGGTTGACGTTTCGCCGCCGTGAGAAACTCGTTGGCGAGTCTGCGCGCGCGGGTATGCGGGCAGCTTCGTTGACTGGCTGGTTGGTTAGTCGGTTCGGGCATCTCTCACGTGCGTGCGTACGCGCATCCTACGTGCGTACGAACTGCGTGTGTGTATGTGTGTACGTGGTGTGGTAGGTTTGAAAATTTGAAAAGCGGCGTGCGCGAGTGTCGCGGGGTAGCTCCCGCGCGGTGCAGGTGTCTCGCTAAGGGAAAGAGAAGAAACGAGTGGGCCCGCTTCTTCCGCGAGAGGATTCACGTGGGGAAAGAACGTGATCTACCGTTGATCGCCGGCGTCGTCGCCATCGTCGTCGTCGTCGAAAACGTCGGCAGCCCAGCGGAATGTGGCACGAGGTGAGTTAGCAGCCTGCCCGGTTTTCGCTTACCCGACCAGGGATGGACCTCGAGAGCGGGCCCTTTCGCTGCCTCTCCTTTTCCGTCTGCTCCGAGTGTTCCACCTCGGCTCGAAAGAGCGCTCTTTCCGATTCCTTTCGCCAAATCGCGACGGTTAGACGCGGAGCGTCGGTTGCGCGGAAATTTCTCTCTCTCTCACTCTCTTTCTCGCATTCTCGAGCCTCCTCTCGGTCGGGTACTGAAACCGGTATAATTTCGATAGGCCCAGATTTCCCTGCGGTAGGCGCGCGAAAATGGGCTTTACGGGTATGTAATGCTCATTTCGGCCGCAATTTGTTAATGCTTGCCGCATTTATCAAGTCGGCGCGAGAGACTCGTTGTCCTTGTCGAAGGGAACTTCGAACAAGTTCAGTTGATCGCGGAGCGATTTTTACTCGATCCATCACGGCATTCCCATGATCAACCAGAACGGATTTTCTTTTCTCAATGTTGTCAGTGACCTCCGTGGCGAAACATCGCAACGGTTGAGAAGCACAAACAATCGTTGATCTCGCTCGTACGTACCCGCACGATCGTGTCTCGGACATGTTTGAATTTCTTACGCCGCCATTTTTTTCTCCGAATTGTCTGTAACTCGCACCGACAGGATACGCCGTAAGTGAATGAACGACAAGCGCTGACAATGTAAGTTTTTTTAGTGAATTACAATTGCGCGCGCGTGCTGAAAGGAGAGAGGTACATATCGAGGTAGACAGAAATGCTGAACACATAATATGCAAATACTTAATATATGCGTTGTGATGCCATTACAACAGCACAACATATTTAAAATATGCTTGTTTTAAGAAATACTCATTTACTATGCCATAATTTTAATCAAAGTATTGACATCTTATTACTACTGTAATTCTAAATTAATTGCGTTCTCTTTCGAGCAAAATAAGCAGCAATATTTATGGCATCGAAATATCGCCGCGATATTGCCGCAATTTTCATGGCACCAGGACGCATCTTAACCTATTTATGCTAGTCACGATGCGGACAATATACCGAAATATATCTATCTGAAGTATATATATTGTTTGCTCCTATATGAGAATTTATGTTGAATAATTCTGATGAATCTTCATTTCATTCAGTGCGCTACTAATATTCGTATGCACCACACAGCAACATAACCTGTTTCGCGCACGGTGAGATTTCATAGGTTAGATGCAAAATAAAAAAAAAAGATGAATATCTCTACCCGACCGCGCTAGGTTAATAATGTATGAGTTTTCGCTCGATACAGAATACGATCGATAGATACGTTAGGCGTCAAGCTAGCGAATGGGCGAGCGAGCAAATTTGAAAGAAATCACGTGTCGAAAATGCCGCTCATCCGCGCGGGAGGTGATAAAAATGTTCCGTTAGCGCGCGCGCGCGAACGTGTGACACGCGTCTTTTGTCAGTGTGGCGCGTGCATTTACGTGGGCGCAGCCGAGGTGGAATGATTTTCACGTCGGAAACGTGCTCACGCACGTACGTGCGCGCAGTATGTGATTGAGAAAATTTGACAAAGGGCATTCCGACGCGTACGTTCTGTACGTATGTGATTACAGTTTTAAAGATCCGTTTTCCCCCATTTTTCCGCGGACTTTTGTGGTCTCTTATATATATATGTTTCTTAACTTCTTTACTGTAAAAAAATTAATGCGGCAGGTTTTCACCGAACACACATGGATTTTTTTTAAACCAATTTTCGTACCCTTGTAAAATCCTTGACAGAAATCCGCGGAAAAAGTGAAGAGAAAAACGGCTTTTTTCTGAAACTTCAAAATTATAATGTGAACACATAGATGGTTGCATTAATCGTCGAAATTGAAAACCACCACTCGAATACGGTTTCCGCGGTTTACATCAGCTTCGCGTGCAGTGAAAGTGAGGTCGATTAAAATCGATGGCCTAGTTCGAGAAGGCGCCAATCGAAGATTACTCATTATCAGGCTGATTCGTTTTAGATCGCGCGGGGATGACTCCGATTCTACGACGTTCGTCCCGCGATTTTAACGTAGCTCACTTTTTACGTATGCATAACGCCGTAGCCGTACTCGAGAGTAGTCGATAATTACATAAGTTTCTCCGCAAATTATTAAAAGGCGCGCCGAAATTATCTCTGCTTCTTTCCCGCCGAGAGACACTGTGAAGAGCGGCAGGCTAACAAAAGAACAAAGAGTTATCTGAATATCGCGAGGCGTCGATAACGTGAAACGTATAAATATTTCCAGTCATTATGATACGATTTGAATTGTCGATGTCATTCAGTCGAGCCAGTCGTTCGGAGTGCTGTCAATTTCGACTACCCGAATACCCGAGTATTTCAGTAATTGCCGCGATCCTATACTGAAAGAGTCGGGTAATTTAAATTGACAACATTAGTTCATAGTCAATCAAGTTCACCGTTTAAATTCGCAACGCCATAGCGAAAAGCACGGCGAGAACATCGCGATCTATGAACCCCGAACCGACATCAAAACAGATAACGTCCCACGGTTTACGAAAAAGCGCGGCAAACCGGGTCACGCACGAGATTAGCCCGTGGCCTTACGTCATCGCCGTAAGAAGTTCGCGTCGTTTCTGGTGTTTCGTTCGTACAACCACGCGGCAGCAGCCGATGGCTCGACCTATTTTTTCCGATCGAGCGAACGAGCACGCGCGTGTCTCCGTCGTGACGATCGGTTAGATAAACGTACGGTGCGTCGTATGCCCTTTTATCCTAGAAACGAATGGTACCGTGGGACGATATTACGCGCGTCACCACACGCGTGCGTCTTCTTCGAGCCGCTCTTTCTTGCCGGTGCACCGACGAGCCCCGGCGCGTACCATCCTCGTAAAATCGATTTCAAGGCAAAAGTTACGTTGTCCGACGGTCTCGGGCATTCCGCGGATTCCTCGCGGTTAAATTCCTCTTAACGCGTCCGATCCTAGACGAACGAATCGCGCGAATCGGCCCGGCCTCGATGACGAAGGTGTATTAACGCAACGAAGGTTGCGCCGTGGCAAAGGCACTCCTTAGTTCTGGCTCAAGGTCGGGCTATTAAGAGGCCTAAAGCACACGGACGGGTTTACGGTCGTACGTCTCTTCGTTAGACCGACGAGCGGCCTGCTCTCGCGGATGTCAAGTCGGGGAAAGAAAAAGAGAGAGACGAGAATTGTCGTTAACGTCCGTACTGACGATAAGGTTCCCTTAAAATCGCGTGTAATCTCGGGACAGGCGCGGTTCCGTCGGTGTGCAAGCAGGTACGGCGTTATCAAGCAAACAGGCGCATTCGCGAAAGACAGAAGTCGGAGGAGCTCGTCGTCGGGTAGTTTACCTTCGCAGATAGTTCACAGATAACTCGACTTCGACAAACTCGGCTCTCCCACCGATCCCTCCGCCGTAACACGATATTTCGTCCCTAAACTCCGTCAGTCACTCGACGACGATATCCTGCGACAGGGAGACACTCGTATCCTGTTTTATCGCGATCCGATTTGCGGGCGCTCTCGGCTTTTCTTTTTATTACCTCGGAAATCCGAGACTCGCCGTTTTGGCTTTAATATCCACTGTCGTCGTGTTCGTCCGCGTCATCGTCGTCTTTCTTCCTCCTCCGGAACGCCACACCGTCTTTCTCATTCTCTCGTGATTTGCCCGCAAAGTGGCAGCGTGTGGCATCGTATTCACGCGTTGAC